AAAAAAATTTGAAGTCTCTAGCTCTTATATCTTCTGAAATCGACGCGTTCATACATACGGACAGACGGACAGACGGACAGACAGACGGACAGGGCTAAATCAACTCAGCTCGTCACCCTGATCAAGAATATATATACTTTGTGGSGTMTGYCACGCCTCCTTCTCCCTGTTACATACATTTCAACAAAACCATTATACCCTGATTTCCCATTGAAAATGGGTTCAGGGTATAAAAATAGTCATAGAATGTGCAATTCATGGTAGCAATATTCCACAAATAAAAAGTCAAATGAAAATAGTTAATATGAGCCCATAATCTCAGTCATACAATTACATTGAAATCAGGCATTAGAATGATTCTGCATTTCCCAACTAAATAAATTGACAATTTTACAAAGCTACTATTAGCTTCCGCTTCCCATCACTCTTTCTGTCTCTCTCTCTCCCTGCATATTTGTGCATATATCTCTCTCTTTCTTTCCCTCCCCTGTTTATCTGTCTGCCTCCTTCTATTTCTACATGATGAAGCACCCACTCTTTAAGATTTAACAGCTATATATTACAAGCAATGTTCCAAGTACCTCATTGAGAACAATCACATAAAAACATTCATAGCGACATAGATATACATATGCTCATTTGGCTGCCTAATTATCAACGTTAACTACAGATTGCCACACACACACACGCACACATACAACAGCCACATGTAAGCCAAAGGCTGAAATGGCGCATAAAAACGTGACCAAGAACTAAACGCTGCGGCTTGCATCCTGCGCATCACATCGTTTCAGATAGTATTACGGCCAACACAAACATACAAAGCTGAGTATGTGTGTGTGTGTGTGTGTGTGTCTCGGTGTCGTGTACATGAGGCGAAAGCGTAAAGTGTCATTGACAACACGTCATTTTCTCAAGCACTCATTAATCTCAAAATGATGCATCCAAATTGGCTAAAAGCGAAATGCTTACAGTGCTTTATGCCAACTATGTTAGCTACATCTCTTTCAACTATGAAATAAAACGGAATTCTAGATTTTGAAATGTTGATTTATTTTATTTCTTTTGCTATATGACACGCCCTTAAAGAGGCTTAACAATTATCTTTGAGTCATCGATAGAGGAGGTTACTAATAACTCAACTATCCAAATTGGAAGCTTCTAGTTCTAGATATTAACTTGTGCGGTTTGCCACGCCCCCTGTGGGACTTGGGTAGGCAACCCGAGTATATATACCAAATTTCAGGCCTATCGCATCAATAGTGCCTAAAATATCGCAGAATTTGAAAAATCACTATAAATTTAGATCCGATTTGCCACGCCCTTAATGCGCACTTGCAAAATTTCAGCGTCTCAGTTGTAAAACTCTAGAAGATACAGTCTTAACCGATTTTTTTAAGAGTAGATATATTTATTTATTTTTTAACCTCTATAATCGGAGATATACACGAGAATGCATATGTATCCACTGAATTCAGCATAAATTAAAAATTAAAATTGTGACAAACAACGACCCAAGCTTATAGCCAGTCTCACTTATCTAGCTCTAAAGCAGTTAACTACTTCGAGCTATAAGCCGAAATTGTCATTGATGAAATTTATATTGAGAAATTGATTTCATGCACTCCCAACTAAATGTGACAAGTTGACAAGGCAAACGACATATTGAATTTCAGATTGAGTGGGCCGGGCCCCGTTTCCATTGCCGCTTTAAAAATCAAAATCTATCAATTCCATTTGCCATGTTTCATATTGCATACATAATCTCCATCAAGGTTCAACTTGTATTTCATTCTTTATATCCTTCTGTTGTTGTTGTTGTTGTAGTTGCTGTTGTATTTCCTTGAGCAAAATCGTTTGTTAACGAACTGCGAGAGCAACCAAAAGGTAAAACCTTCGCATATGTAAACATATCCATAAAGCTGATGCCCTTGTTGCTGCTGTACCTCCGGCGTAGTCCCTCTGCCCGCACACATCAGCATCAATTGAGTTAATTTGAAACCTACATATATGCATATACATATGTATTTATTTATATAGTATATACATTTCATTCCATTTTCCTTTTTGAATGTCAATGTGAAAGTTTTTGCCCTATTATATGTATATATTTGCACCCTGGTGTTTTTCAATGTCAGTCAAAGTGCAAAATCGAATGGAATGGAATCGATTCAGCTTTTGTGCGAATATTTTTCACACCCGAACAGTCGGGAAATGGAAAAGCAAAATGCGGTAGCAATAGTCGAAACATTTCGCTATTTATGCGAGTTAATTAACATGTTTTATTTAATTACTGAACGCAAATTGAGTGGGCAGCTTTAACACGCAATTAGTGAATGCTTTGTAATACTTTCACACAATTTGCACTTGCAATTCTCGATTTAAATTGCATTGATTGAGACTTAAATATCGCCCACACAATTCTCATTAGGCTACACTTTAACATCATTAACCATATTCTGTCTCTCCCTGTTTGCTTGCAGGGCCACACAACATGTCCTAAAGGCTCTGCCCATCAACAGCAAAAACAACTGGGCGATGCGATCCAGTGCCATCTGTTACGAAAACCGGAATTTATGAAGCGAGTGACATAAATCACAAAAGACGAAAGCCGAAAACCTGCACATAGAGAGGCAGAGAGTGCCAGAGCCAGAGAATAGCATGAAATTAGCAGCAAAAACTGAGCCCCAGCATGGATAAGAAATCGAAGACGAAATCTAAAACGAAAAGCCTCAAGCCGAATAAGGAATCAAGCACCAAGCTGGATGTGGATCTATGGGAGGTAATTACCTAAATAAAAATACCGAAAATAGGAGATAGAAGATAGAAGACAGAATATAGAAGATACAAGATACAAGATACAAGATACAAGATACAAGATACAAGATACAAGATACAAGATACAAGATACAAGATACAAGATACAAGATACAAGATACACTATTCGGGTCAAAGGGGCGTGGTATCCAAACTATGTAAATTACAAAATGTTTGTATTCATCCTATGTATATACACAGTAAGTCTGAAGAGTCCAGGTCTAATAGTATTCCAATTATTATTATTATTATTCTCGATAAAAAAGTTATCGGATGATTTATCGAAAAAAAAATAAGATAAACTCGTACTGCGTATACACAAGTATGCATGCCAGATTTCATATCTCTAGCTTTTGTATCTTCTGAGAACGACGCACATATACAGACGGACAGACAGAGCTATATCGACTCAGCTCGTCGCCCTGATCAAGAATATATATGCTTTATGGGGTCTGCCACGCCACCTTCTGTCCGTTACATACTTTTTCACAAAACCATTATACCCTGATTTCCCATTTTCAATGGATTCAGGGTATAATTAAAGGTAGAAAATGGAAGAGGGGCTAGCTACGAGAGCGATATTATAATGTAAAGGTATAATCTCAGTATTTATGTGCATGATAATGACATGCTTTGAGTTATCCTGGCAGCTGTCGGGATGTGTGCAAGTCGCGATCATAGAATGTTAACTAACGGGGTCAACATTGAATTCCTTGCAGCAAAATGAGGATCGCTTCACCAGCTGTGAGTTCAATGTGGAGCGAAGCAAGCCAAACAAATTGGCTCCCAGCAGCAAAGCTCCGGCGGCAGCAGCAACAGCAGCAGGAGTTGGAGGAGGAGCTGGAACGGGTGCAGCAGCTGCAGCTGGCGCTGGCAGTGTGGTATGTCCTGGAAATGCGGCGGCCCTAGCAATGACAGCGCCTCAGTTGACCACCACGCCCACTGCCATAAGCATTGCTGGCTGCGCCTCCGGCACGGCGCTGGTCACCTTGGACGCTGACGCGGTGGCAGTTGACACAGGTGATCCGGAACGTGGCAACTGGACGGGGCGCTTTGACTTTCTGCTGTCGCTGCTGGGCTACTCCGTAGGCCTTGGCAATGTCTGGCGCTTTCCCTATCTGTGCTACAACAATGGGGGCGGTAAGTGCTCGCCATATGTGTCCTTATTGAACGTCCTGTGCTAAACCAATTACGCTTGCAGGTGCGTTTTTAATACCCTTTACAATCATGCTCATCATAGCGGGTCTGCCACTGATGTTCATGGAGCTGTCGTTTGGCCAATACGCTGCTCTGGGCCCGGTGGCCATCTACCGACGCTTCTGCCCGCTGTTCCGTGGACTAGGCACTGGCATGGTCATTGTGTCGGCCATTGTCATGCTGTACTACAATTTGATCATCGCCTGGACCATATTCTATATGTTCGCCTCGTTTCGCACCCAACTTCCCTGGCAGAACTGCGAGCCTGAGTGGAGCACGCAGCGTGAGTAAACAAACTTAAATTGAGCTGAAGGCGCCAGAGCTGTGGTCAAAGCCAGCAATATTTGTTGGCAATAAATTAAGCGAACTGCAAGCTGACAAAACTGAAACTTTATCCAGGCCAAAACTTTGCCTTGCCCTCACAGAGGCAAACGTGGTTGTAATGCCCAAACGACACGGGCCATTGAAGCTAATGACCAAGTGGCAAATTGGCCAGCATATTTGATATACGTAGTTAATAAGTCACTTATTGTTTTATAATTTATTATATTCGTTTGCGCATTAAATTTGATTAGCATTATGACTTCCCAATACATCCGAATGGAGTGCGCTATTGAGTATTATTTGATAGCACCTATATGAAGACACACACATACATACATATCTCTGCACTATAGTTGTTAGTTTGTGCTGACTTAAGATAATAATTGTCCCGGCACATTGGGACGAAATTTTATTAATGGCATTAATTATGCTATCGGTAGCATATATTATATCATAAACATATATAGTCAGTCGTATGCAGAATGATTACTCATAGGTCATTTGATCTGTCGATAGTTAGACTCTGTCCAAACGACTGTATTAGGATATTTATGAGCATCCATAGCACATTTCAATCTTGGCCGTATCAATCGATAACAATAATTTGGTCTCCTATCATAAATTTTTACGTTCGACAGCAAAAGTTAGTGCTACGAGGCTGAATTTTCCATCTACGTTTTTTATTCTTTCGCAATCAACGCATACGTAAGCAATAAAAACAAGTTTTTCCTTTCTTTTGCTCCCAAAAATGATAATAATAAACAGGCAAAAGCAAGGACCACGGTGAAATATGCTACGCCTTGAAGTAGGCAATTGTTTTTGTGCTACTTTACGTCTGACATCGCAAGAGGCATGTCCGCTATGGGCGTGGCAGGGCAGCGTATATTGTGCGCGCCTAAGCGTGCATTTGATTTCTTTACACCGACATACACACACACAGGAATAGAGCTGTAATGCAAACACACAGGCACAATTTAAAATTTTGTCCGCCACGCGAAGGACATAAATCTTTAACGAGTATTGGAGAGGTGACAGTAGGCAGTCAGGGCTGTACGCGCGAACTAGGTGGCAAAAAGTAGAGTATTAGGTACAACTATAAAATACCATGGACTACAAGGTACATAAGGTCTATCGATTAAGCCAAACTGAATTAACGAGATGATAGCTGGCTGGTGCTGCTGCTGCTATGGTATATAATTATTGGGTATTTTATCTTTATCGGAATACCAATTTATCAGTTGAATTATAGCTATTGAACGGCCACTAGCAATATGTTCTTATATTGCATGTATATGAAACATGCCACAGATTTCATTTTCAGTAAATTCTCTTCATGCATGTGGCAATAGCAACTACGGCATATATAAAAGCTTGATAGGGTATTAGAAGTCGTTGCTTGAATATGTTACAAATCGCAGCTTGTTTTGCTGCTTTTTTATGCGACTCAAGCTGCGAACTTTGCTTATTTTATTGCGGCTGCCTCAGTAGCACTTAAACATGTATACACACCCATGCAGGCAGCACTAATACACGCACACACACAGACTGAAGTGGCACTGTGTGAGGGTGCAGCCCGTACAAGTAATAATCATAGCAACAACAGCTAACGCCATTGAAAGTTTTTGCATGAGCTTCAGCAGCAGCTGCCTCTACGCGCCACCCACGCCCTTTGCCGCTTGAGCCAACATGATTTAATATGGCCGTCATTGATGCAAAGCCATGGCCTAAAGCAGGGACACCAGCAACGCCAGCAACAACAACAACAACAACAACATCAACATCAACAGTGGAGAAAAAATACTCTGGCATTTCCGTTTTGTCGGTCGGCAATAGAAATCGATATGCGCAATTTCATTGTTAACTTCGCCCACATCATGCCCCTCTCGCTTGCATACCCATTACGAAAAGTGGGCTTAAAATAGTTTCATCGAATTGTAAGCACGTTGTAAGCAGTGGAGAACATCACAAGTTATATAAAAATAAATATTCTGTATGTATGTAGATTGTAGGCGAGTCGACAAACTCTAGTTTACCAGGAATATAATTTGGGAATGTATTTTGAAACCTGCATTCCGAGCTAGTTATTTCAAGGCTTTGGTTGTATACAGGGGCGTAGCGCGGTTTTCGCTAGTGGGGGTGACTCCTACTGAATTGCCGAATATACAGAATTGGATTAATGAGAATATTCTAATTTCCGATTTCCGCATTTCCGTACTCCATGGCCTAAAGACACTGTTCTCACTCCCACTAGACACTGATCGTATAAATTTCATGGTAAAATAATTTAGAATTCTTTTCAGGATAGGATTTCTCATTTCATTAGGAATGTTTTTTTGATAATGGAATTGCGTGCAAAGTATCTTTCCGCCTAATATACCATAGATAGGCGTTTTTTTAGTTCTCATCTTCGTCTTCTTCTTCTCTTGAGTAAGCTGGAAAATAGAAATACTTAAGATGACAAAAATTATGTCTAAACACTTTTTGACATTCAATCGGCAGCGACGGCTGCGGCTGCGGCTGCATGCCGATTCGCAGCCTTGTGCTTATGCTTTTTATAAGCTCTTTAGCACACACACACATACACACACATGCATACGCACAGAGTAACGCAGCCGCAATCTCAGATGGCAGACAAGCAATTTCTTTAGGATTTCATTTATTGACACTTTCACCTCGTCTCGCCAGTGGCTTTGGCCTCGTCTACATCGTCGTCTACATCGTCGTCTTCGTCTTCGTCTTCGTCTTCACATTCGCATTCTCGTCCTTGTCCTTGTGCTCGATTCTGGTTTCTTGTTGCTCGTCTCATCGAATTTTAGATGATAAATGTTTACTTTAGCCTCATGATTAAAATGTGTTTAACTTGTTTGTTCATTGATTGAATATCTTGCACTCTTAGCGCCAGCCTCAGTTTGCTTGTGACCCTCCAGACAAACACAAACAGCACACAATAACAACAACTCAAACACTTTCTCAGTCAATATTTTGCTGCGCGAAATCTTTCTTTTCTATTCACTCTGCTAATGCAGTGAAGGTACATAGTGGGCTTTGTATTTTATTTTCGTTTTTATTTGCCGCCATTATCTGCCGAGTATTAGTTTATGGCGCGGTCAATTAATAAATATGAGCAAACATTACAGGAAACCAATAAAAGAAATCATAGGGAGAAAAACTTAAAGATAAATACAATCCCAGATAGAAATAGAGCAGAAACTGAAACTTAACTCTACTCTATTACTAACTAACCTTTTAATCTGTTTTGACTAGGTGGCAGCCTTTTGCTTTGCATTAAACGGCTTATCTCAAAGGCGATTAACAGTATGAGAATTAGAATAACAAGCAACTGCAGCATTCTCTTTCTCCTATAAATTAAAATTTTATTTTATTTTGTTGGCAACATTTATTATATTCATATTTAAATACCCCGATAATTTTTGTTACTTCTTTATTTCAATGGAATAACGAAAGTGTCCTGCTTTCAATATGCAATTATTACCAAATAATCATCTCATTGGACGAGTACTCTAAGATTGTCATAATAATTTATTTATTTAGGATATATAGTAAAGCAACTGTTGTGATTATCCGCTATAAGCAAGTTCCGCATGTCTTTAGCTCATGATTATAGTTTATTTTGTTCTTAATTTTTGATAGCTTCTAATTGGGGCAATAAGGTTGTTGAGCTAATCAAAGTGAATGTTATGGACATAACTAACATGTGCCTGACACATGGACCAACAACAACAGTTAGTTAGTTAAAACTTTTATAGAACGAAAGAAAAAGGAATAAACAGAAATACAGCTGAAGGCGAATATCAAACTTAAAGGTCACAAAATTTAATGGCCATTTCCCTAGCTGGGCGACTTGGCAGAGGCTTATATAACAATCTTATCATAGTGTGATTGTGCGTGTGGCTGTGCGTGTGTATATTTGTAATCAAATGTAAGATGCCAACACGAGCACACACATACACACACACAGGCACAGTTGGCTGGGTAGACACGCTCGAGTTGGCCAAATTGAAAGGCAGACGGTTTTACCCTGCTGCCGCATTCACATAAACTTTTATATGATTTGTATCTGCGAGTCCTATCAGGTTATCCATCTCGTTCTTCCTCCTCTCTCTCTCTCTCTCTCTCTCGCTCTGTTTCATTGTGTGTGTGCGAATGTTTGTAATAAAATTAATTGCATAACAAATAAAGGCAGACAGGCAAATTAAACGGCGTGTAAACACTTTGAAGCCACCCACATCCCGAAAAAGAAAATAAAGTAAAATAAAATAAATAGGAAATGAAAAAGAAAATAAACGCAACTGCTGCGCCCGCAAAAACCACGAGAAATTCTGTTCAATTTTCTAGCTGTGAAGCGTTTGATTTTCATTTTGATGCTGATTGATTAGATGATGAATATGCTCTAAAAAGCACACAAACCTACATTTGTGGAAATGTGTATGTATATACATTTATATATATGAAAGGATCCATATGTTTTGCCTTGGCTTAAATGCCGCACGCCAACAGCTTTCTAGAGCGTGTCCTATGTGGCGTATGCGTAATGCGAGGCAATTGAATCAACGCTGATTGAGCTGGTCCCGACCCGTTGTCAGACGCTTTGATTAATTTGAATGTAGATGCACTGAAAAATTTTCCAAATTTAAGCTCAAATTAGGTAGTAAATTGGTACATTCGATTCCAAGAAATGGAAATTTTTAACTTTTTCTTCAACACAAATCATATGTGAATAATATATACAGGACACAATAGAAAATATTAAACAGAAATAAAAGGCTCGACGAGCTATTGCAACTCTGGCATGCTGCACGAAAGGTCGAAACTCAGCTTCAGAATCTTTTTGAAGCGCTTCAACAATCATAAAGTGAAAAGAAACCTATCTTATTTCAAAATATTTTGACAAGAAATATAGAAACTTTGAATCAAATACTTCAGTTAAAATGCGATTTATTTCCTCCATTTTCATTTTATCTTCTAGGAGCTAGATCTCTTTTATTGACACAGCGAAAAACGAAGATATAAATATAATATAATCGGGATATATTTGGACTGCGAGATGTATCAAAGAATGATATACCCCAATACCTATCAATTGGAAATAGTCATCGACCCAAGTCGAATAATATTGATTTTTGTACATTGCTGGCTGTAAATCGAAGCGCCTGCCTCTTCTAATCACGTTTGTTTCAGTCTAAATGCGATTTTGCTTTGAAAAGGGTTACAATTTGGCAGTAATCAAACGTGAAATGTCGATCGTAATCACGTGCTGAAACACACGGCTGCTGATTTGAAACATAATGGAGTTATCCAACTCCTGCTTCTTTTGCCCCGCCCACCCAGCTGGCAGCACCCAGAATCAACAGCCAACAGCCAGCTGTCGAGAGTGGCAACTGTACGTTTTGCTGAAATGTACCGTTAGCTCAACTTATTGGCAGCTACGTGAGCTGCATGGCGAATGTGCAAATTAATTGCCTGCCAGATTGCAGTGCCCGCCCCAATGAAAGTCATGTTAAAATAAAATCTTATTAGCAAACAGAAGAGGTCCAAAAATAGCAAATGACAGCTCTAAATGAAAATCAGATTGCTTTCGGCATGCCTCAGTGTCAGTACGGTCTATTAGCCAGCCAATGGCTTGCTGCAGTGGGGCATGTGGCATGCACCTTGACTCAGCAGTTGCTGCCACATTTCATTTCCGCACCAAACACACAAACTGTCGAATTGCACTAGCTCTAAACTTGGCAAGCGAACGGCCACAGCAGTCAGCATTCGGCAGCAGGAGTCGGCAGCAGGAGTCGGCAGTCAGCAGTCAGTTAGTCATTTTTGCGGTCAACCGCTTGCCTCGTTAGTCAACTGAAAGACCCAAAAAACTTTGGATTTTGCACAACCACACACACAAACTTACATACATGCATATGCGAGCTAGACCAGCCGCTCATAAACATCAGCTTACACACTTTTTTTTTTTTTTTTGTATTTTTGCACAAACTCATACGCCCTGTGTGGCAGACATGGAGCGTCGCAACTCAAGTGTCAGAATCAGCCGCTGACATTGGCGGCGACTTTTTGGCAGCTGGATTAAGCAGCGCGGCCACAAATTGCTGGCGCGAGGTGTGCCAAAGTCGTTGAAAACGCGGTCTTTACCCAGCTCCTCATTTTTGTGCTTCATAAGGCGCTTTAAGTTTGTTTTAGGCCTCGGCGGAGCCGTCGAGTTATCCAGCTCTCATTTGTTCTGTGATCCGCTCATATAATATTTACTTAAAATTCAGTGCACTTTCCTATTACTCTAAATAATAAAAGTACAAATGGCCTTGTTCGCAATCAACTTAGTCAGCGTTTCTATTGAACTTTATGCACTTTCGTCAATATCAAGCATCGATTTGCTCTCGCCTCAACTCCATAAAGCGCGCTCTTCAAATTTAATCAGGCCTGGGTCAACAACTGAAACTCGTTGCTCCCGCTGTCATAGGGGCTGACAAACCCTTTAGACCATTTAACCCTTCTTACATACCCTGCATCAACAAAGGCTTAAAACGGCTATATCCGACTGTTGATATGTGAAATTATTACAAATCTAGCATTTATATGTAGTTCACTGAAGGGTATCTCAAGTGATTAGAATTGCTCAATTTGAACGATGGATAATTTACTAAATAAATAAAASGAAAGCCCTCATTCGTGATAGATATATTCAAAACAAGGAACCCTTCAGAGTTTCTTAAAATGAATCCGCAAGAAGAATTGAAGTCTACTTAAACTTTGTTATTGGTTTTTAATGATAATCAGATGATCAAATAAAGTAAATCGGAGCTGAAAACCAAGCTCATCTATATACTATTTTATCTCGATAAGTATCTACTCCCCTATCGTAAATGAAAGTATGAAAGTACTTTATTTATTTTTGTTACAGGGTGTTTCATAGCGTCATACTCCGACAGCTTCTTATTTTCTGCTTTCTGTTTGCTCGCTGACAACAACAGCAGCAGCAGAGGCTACAACAATAACAGTCTACCCTTTTCATGTTTTCCACTGATTTGCTACTTTGTCCTTTTAATTATGAAGCCGCACCAAAGTTGCCATGCTCGTCCTTTTTTGTTGTCCTTTCGCACACATTCGAGTCCCTTTCAGCGCTGCTATTTCCCTGGCTTTTTCAGCATCCTCTTGCTGTTCCGGCAAATAGTTCATAAATATTTAAAAAGCTGCTGCCCCTTTATGCATAATTGAGTGACTGACTGTCAGCTTGCTTCGCCCAGTGGAGCGGGACTCGAGTCCTTGTTGTTTCTAATTCCGTTTTTCTGTTTGCTTCTGTTTTTGTTTGCATCGTGCTCTTGCTCAATTTGCTAACTAGTTGATGGGCCTTACAGATTGCTTCTCCTACGTGGCGGCCGATCAGTGTGAAGCGATTAACGGCACCTACTATCTCCGGCAGTGCTACAATTCCACCTACGCAGAGGCGAACAATATTACAGGCCTAGCCCTACACGCCCTCAAGCGTCCTCCAGCCGAGGAGTACTTCAAGTGAGTGACCATTCCCTATTCAGTAGCGTCTAAGTCCATAGCCTTAAATACAGACTACTCTTATCTACTGTGTTCTCATCTTCCGCAATCTCTCCTCTCTTTTCAGCAATTTTGTGCTGGGCCTGTCGGCGGGCATCGAGGAAACGGGCAGCATTAAAATCTCTTTGGCCGCCTGCCTGCTCATCGCCTGGGCCATTGTCTTTCTGTGCCTGTGCAAGGGCGTCCAGTCATCCGGCAAGGTCGTCTACTTTACAGCGCTCTTTCCGTATGTGGTTCTGGTCATACTCTTCTTTCGCGGTGTTACCCTGCCGGGCGCCAGTACGGGCATATTATTTTATCTTACGCCCGATTGGAAGCAACTGGCCAACGCTCAAGTGAATCACCCTACCCAATCAATGCCTTTACCATATTGTTGAAATTGTACATCTCCTTTACAGGTCTGGGGCGATGCGGCAGTGCAGATATTTTTTGCTTTGAGCCCTGCGTGGGGTGGCCTCATCACACTCTCCTCATACAACAAATTCTCCAATAACTGCTACAAGTATGTATGATGTAGTCTTATGTCTTAAGCTATATATCTTAAAAGAGTTTCAAATAAAGTCTGTGTTTCGATCAAAGAACTGATCCGTAATCTAAATAAAGAGTAGTTCGGTGTGGCCGTATCGACTCAGGTTCAATTCTCCATTTGTCGGGTAGCCCAAACTATTATATTTTCTAAAGTCAGTCGCACCTAATCAAAAAGTAAACGTGAACGAATCCTGCGAAAGCATAATGAAATGATTAGTCACATTTACAGACTTGGCTTAATCGATATTACATATATATTTTAGCTGGCTAAGCCATAATAAATCCGGTCAGCTCAGGAGCTCCTAGCACCCGAGTTCTTATAATTGAATATTTTGATTGCGTTCCCAAATAATATTAATAAAATACCATTAAAATCAAACACCAATAAATTTGCTTATCTTTCAGGGATGCTCTCATTGTTGCCTTCTGCAACATAGCCACCTCATTTTTTGCGGGTCTAGTCATATTTTCCATAATTGGATTTCTCGCACACGAACTGGACGTGGAGGTGAAAAAGGTTGTGGATCAGGGCGCCGGCTTAGCATTCATTGTGTATCCGGAGGTGGTCACACGTCTGCCCATCTCACCTGTTTGGTCTGTGCTGTTCTTTGTCATGCTGCTCACCCTCGGCCTGGACTCGCAGTTTGCTTTGATGGAAACCGTAACTACTGCCATTTTGGACAAGTTTCCAAATCTGCGACAATACAAAACTTGGGTTGTACTCTTTGTGGCCATATTTGGTTACACTGGCGGACTCGGCTTTACCACCAATGTGAGCATATCTGCAATATCCCCAATGATACCAATTGATTTACACGTCATTTTCCGTAGAGCGGCATGTACTGGCTGCAGCTGATGGACAAATACGCCGCCAACTGGTCTGTGCTGCTTATAGCAATCTTGGAGTGCTGGCTCATTGCCTGGATCTATGGGTCACAGCGATTCCTCAACGACATCCAGGGCATGATTGGCAAGCGATCGCGCCTATGGAACTTCTTCTGGGGCTTTATGTGGCGCTATATAACGCCAGCAACTCTATTGGTAAGTTGGTAAGCTGATGCAATAGCTCCTGTCATCCATTATCACATAAACGGCATTTAAATTATGATGAACAAGTTTTATGCGGCCCAAGTCGATCTGCTTAGCTTATACAATAGTATATTACATAGTATATCTTACAGTATGAAAAGAATCTCTAGCGCCATCTATCGACATCTATATATTGTGCCAATCACAATCACGATGGCCAGCTGCATTAACTATCGGCGTGGAGTGTCATCGATATTTTGGCCGATTACACTGAGAGATGTTACCAAACTGAGTAGTCTAGTCGGCGCGCACTTTCCTTCCATTGAGGCTTCAGGCTGAAGCTCGCCAATGAGGCTATATTTAATATGTAATAAATAATCGATCAATCAACCAAAAAATGATTACATTTCCTCAAATTTCTTACAGAGGATAAGTCAGTCACAATATTAATGGCTTCAATAGCATAGTATTTACAGTCCTATCAACTTGACCCCTATACTCTTTTGTGTATCTATCGAATAATTTTAATATCTTTTCATTTACAGTTCATTTTATTCTTCAACTGGGTGGAGTACAAACCCGCACAATATGGCCATTACATATACCCTTTATGGGCGGATATTGTGGGCTGGATCGTAGGTCTATTGCCGGTACTAATCATAATTGCTGTCGGCATGCAGCAAGTGTGCAAGGCTCCAAGCCATCTTGGTTTCAAGGAGCGAATCAAGCATCTCATGAAACCCACCGCCGAATGGGGACCTGCTGGCAGACCCTGTGTCAATTTGCATGCCGAGCGTTATCAAAGTCAGAACTACGATGGTGTGACCAATACTCAAATACTGATAAGTGGAACACCAGCGGAAGTTATGCCCTACGAGGACAACAGCCAAGACAATGGCAGCGGCAACGCCAATGACAACGCCAACAGCAATGGCAATGGCTATCGGGATGAGGTATTGCAACTCTGAGAGCGGGTTAAAGCATCCTCGTCAGCGATGGCCGCCAGCGTTGACGTTGAAGTGTTGCCCATGACGGTGGGTAAGCTGCCCGGGCCGAGCATATTGAAGACATCGGCCAGGCACAGCAGCAACAGCAATCAGCAGCAAGTTCAAGCGGAGAACGGGCGTAACAACTCCATACCGACGGCGAATCCCAGCCGGCAGCCGCTCGTTGAAGCGGACAATGATGTCAAAAAAACACCAGGAACAGTTGCAGCTACCACGAAAGTTTTGTCTACAGGCACAATGAGCAGCGGGCGTGAGTGCAACACCATGTCTACTTTCAGCGCTTTTGGAACGGAAACTGTGCCTGACGACCCAGCCAAGCCGAAGACAACAGCTGATGTTGTTGCCAGCACAGAGGCCACAGCAGCAACAACTAGCAATATCGCAGCGATGCCAGCTGGCACGAAGCCAAATACAGCTCTGACTACTTTTATGCCGACCACAAAGCCAATAACAACAGCTGTTGCTAACGGCGTTCCCAGCAAAGCTTCAGCAATAGATGCAAATGTGAGTGTTGCCAGCACAACAGCAACTGTTGCTGCAATTCAGAAGTCCCAAATAGTAGACACAAAGGGCGCGTTAACAAAGCTTAAGCCGAGCGTGACTGCTGCAAACAAAATTGGGAAGACGGCACCAACAGTTGCTGCGGTGACAGCATCCACATCAGTCATAGCCACCGACAAGTCAACAAAGATTATTACAACAATAGCGAAGCCCACTTCAAGTATTGCTACCAAGCCGACAACTGTTGCGTCAATAACCACAATATCTGTCAGTGTTACTGCCAACCCTCAAGTAATGACATCAGCAACTATCTTAATGCCAGGAACAACTGTAGCAAGTAATGTGCCAAAGACAACAGGAATGACATCTGAAATAGTTTCTAATAACGGGAATAAAACCTCCACAACAGCAGCAACTGTTGCAAGTATTGTGCCAAAGACAGCAGCTGCAACAACAGGAATGACAGCGTCACCTGTTGCTAGTAACGTGACTACAACATCCACTATACCAGCAACCGTCGCAAGTAACTTACTGAAGACATCAGCTACAACAACAGCAGTTACATCTTCAACTGTTGGAAGTAATGTGACCAAAGCATCAACAGCAACTGTTGCAAGTAACGTACCAAAGACAATAGCCGTTACATCGACAACTGTTTCAAGTAACGTGACCAAATCATCAACACCGGCATCTGCTGTTGCAGGTAATGTGCCTAAGACAGCCGCAGCAACAACAGCAGTGACATCAATAACTGTAGCAAGCAACATGACTAGCACAACAACATGTAATGTGCCAAAGACAGCAGCACCAATAGTAGTTGCTGCCAGCAACACAGCAACTACCACGAAGGCATCGTGTTCACAAGCAACTGTTGCTACCATACCCCCTGCTGTTCGTGGCAGTAATTCCCCAGCAGTTTCGGTAACAATTCCAACACCAGCAGCATCTGTAGGGACATCAGCAACAGTGAAATTCTCAACAGCAGCATCTACACCAAGTACCACGGCCACATCATCTACAAAGAAAGTAACAGCAACAGCAAAGCCCGCAACAACAACAACCGCTTCAAAGCCAGCATCACCTACCAAAAACGCTACGACTTTCCCAACAACAGCAAGTCTCACAGCAAGACCGCCTTCTAAGAGGATCACAACATCCCCATCATCAGCATCGACATCAACTCCGAAGTCCTTAGCAACATCTCCTACTAAAAGGGCAACAACGTTCCCAATATCTGCAACACCAAAGCCCACAGCAACATCGCCCACTAAAAAGGTCACCACATTCTCAGCAACAACAACATCGCCCACAAAAAAGTCCACAGCATTCACAGCAACGGCAACGGCTGGTAAAACCCAAACAAGCAAATCAGCAACAGCATCCATTAGCAACAGCAGCAGCAGCAGCATGTCCCCGAAGCAGAACAAGCCAACGGCAACAGCAAGCTCAGCAAAGACAACATCAAATACTGCAGCAACAGCGAGCAAAACGAAAGCAACTGCAACACCTAAGAAATAGAATGAAGCTCAACTCGAAACCTGACATAAACTGTAGTTCCAATATTGAACACTATTTTTCTAAGTACCTATTTAAACTTATGTAAAGGAGCTCGAGCTAAGCGAAACATTGTTTTTAAGCCTATATATATACATATGTGTGTTATATATATACATATATGGATATTTATATAAATGTTATACGCCTATGTGTTTATATAGATGTAGATTTTATAAATATTTATTTGTATCACATTTACTTTGGCACCGAACAGCTACAGAAATTAAGTGGAAATTGCAACACTTTCAACAATTTTAAATAGTTTCCAAGACTTAATGAACATTTGCCAATATATAGAAATTGTTTTGAATAAGTATGCATTAAAGAAATGGAGAATGACTAGAAAGTTTAGGAGCACCGAAAACCAAACACCCTTGTAGTATAATATTTTGTATAAAGAACATTTAAAGTGTATGTCTAATAATTTAAACTTAATACTTTATTAACATATGAATTACAATGTATCGTCAAATGATTAACATGTGTATATGCCGAGGCCCGAAGGTACTCAAGTTAGTCGAAAGTAACTAACTTTAAGTATAAATTATTATCGATAATAAATGCCATGCTTATATGAGATCCTGATCAAGAATATATATTCTATATTAGATCTGACACTCCTGCCTGTTACAGACATTTTCAAAAAAATATTCTCTGAAATCCCATTTACAATGATTTAACGATATATAAAATCAATCAACCAAATCCAACTGGGCGAAATCTTGGGATATATCATGTTAATGGTGAAGGTAGCAATACATCAATACATATTGTACTAAAATTAACTTAAAATATTTTATTATTATTTTAGTTTCATATAAGTTTATTTTTAATATCCACTACAAGGGTATTCAAGCAGCAAACATTTGAAAGGTGCTTGCTAGCCACAACACTAGCTACAATGACTAGTATACCTATAAACACTATGCAACTATGTTGTAATAGTTCATTAACAACTAATTTATGTGCTCACTGTTCCCCTAAGTATTATGTTGAAAGACTCAATGCAATTACCAAAAAGTTAACGTAGGTTTTAGTAAATCACAGAATGGCTCGTTTGATTGTTGTGCGATAGAAAAGGTGTCTATATAACATATAATATATACATATATCCCGATTATATTTAGCCGTATTCTGTACCTATTGGTTATATTAGATACATTAGAAAGAGCAATGTGCAAATGCAATGGAAATAGATACATTTATACACATATATACAATATACCCAATATATATATACATATATTTAAATAACTACGTATACACAAGAAATACTTATTTTTACTGCAAATGTTCTTAATAATATATTTTAAACATTTTTAATGAATTTTTATAAGGCTTGCAATTTGGGCAAAGGTCAAGGCACGAGCTGGACTTTTATTATTTATGTTATTCACTTTGATTTAGGCTCCTATGCATGTTAGTTAATATTTATATATCTGTATATGTACACAGTTTAATGTAAAACTCTATTCTGATAGGCCTAAATAAATGAGAGACTCATGTACCTAATGAAATTAAGATACGAGTGGATTTTTCAGGATGCATAGACCTATGGATCTTACAGAAACAGCATAGACCTATGGATCTTACAGAAACAGCAAAACTAGAAACCTACAACTAATTCTAAGCAAGTATTTAGAAATGTTTTATGTGTATATGAGTAACTAAATAAATACCGAAAATCAAAAAACAATAATTAAACTAATGGAAAATAATAAGAAAGAATCTAATTTATATGGAAATTATTGTGTATTGTTGTTGAAATATACTATTTATAATATATATGTACATGTTATTAGATGGAGAAAAAAAATCAAAAAGCTGTGTGTTGCCCAAAACAAAAGAGGAAAACTAAAAACAAAAATAGAGTAAAGATTATATTAAAATATACCTAAAACATTTGTATGTGTTTGTACATCTAGCTAGTGGAAAAATAAATACAACAATAATGAAAACAAAAAGAAATAATAATAATATAAAAATATATAATATATATGATTATGATTTATGCAGAATCAAAAATATTTTAAGTGTTGATTTACAAAATTTGTAATTTAATTTTGTTAAATTTGTATGTTAAGTTTCCAACTAGACTCAAACTACTGTAAACCCGAAATTTGTGATAATTTTTTGTACTATGTTAAATTTTTGAACATTATGTATTGTCCACGTATAGGAATAGAACTTAGTTATATAAATATATAGCCAATGAGCAAGTAAGGATATTAACAAAACAGGAATTTTATTCAATTGTTGTTCTTGAGTTGTTGTTTTTAGCGCAGTAGCTGTGACATAATATTACGAATTAAAGTACCTAGAATAAATTTACAAAATATGTGCTACATATATATACATTAATGATAGCCCAACTGTTAAAGTATTAACCCATTGTCGCATGTCGTTTGTTTATGTGAATGTGTATGTACCTGTAAAAAAAACTAAATTATTAGAAATAAATAGAGTATATATAATATAATAAAAAAATCAACAATAATCTAAATATGGAAATGTTAAATGGCTGTTAAAAAAATGTAAAATATTTATATGATCAAAATGCAATTGAAAAACTCATACATATGTACATATAAAAATGAGCTAAATATTTTACGATAAGCAAATCGAAAGCAATTTGCTCAAATCAAAATTTTTGTTTATTCGTACCTAAATAAAGAATATCTAGCTAAAGCTGTCAATTCCGGCAAGATAATTGTTAGCAGTATGCTCAATTATTTGTGAATGAAGATAGCAGATAAGAGAGGTTACTTTAAAAAATAAAAATTAAATAATCAATTTTCAGTTCGAATCTATAGGAGCTTCAAATTTTTTACGAAACTTTGAGCTACGAAAGGTATAAATAAATCCGAATAGTTGAGGAATTATTACAAAATTCATATCGTTACATTAAGCTTATAAAAACCCAAAATAAATATACGATAAATCTTTAAACTGTATACTGTAATCTTGAAAAAATTTAACTCCACCCACCTTTTTAATACGCTCGATCTACAATAAAAACCTCATTGAAATGCAACACTTTGAAATGAAGATCAAATGAATATAATTATATAGATGAACATAAAGATAAATATGTAGGTATATATACACACACATATATGCCGTAAAATAGAATTGATGTATTAACTATAAAATAAGTGAAACTTAAACAGAAATGCAATTGACAAGTTATTTTATGTAGCAGTCGGCATTGGTCGACTTGATGATGCCCTATACCTAAATAACTTCAATGATTTGATATTACTTAAATATCTTCAGTGTTCTTGGAAAACTTTATTCTTCGACATGGGGCATACTGAAAAGTAGACTAAAACAATGTTCACAACTTCAAATGTTGTTAAAAACAGTACAATTATTTTGTATGTATTATTACATTTTAATAATACTTGAGAACTCTTCTCATTGTCCGATCAAAGTGTATATATTGATAATTCAAATAACTTTCGAAATAATTGTTATATGTAAATGCAAAAATGTATATGCGTAAATGTATCTATGTTTTAAGCAGTTATTGAGCAAATAATTCTTATATTAACAAAATATTTTGCTGTTCATGTAAAAGCCGATGATGCGCTTTAAAAAGTATTTGTAAATGTAAAATTGAAAGTTCGATCGAAAATTCCAAAGCGGCCAAAAAACCAAATGTACTAAATATATGTTACTATATATAAGAAATATGATTGTATTATTAGATAATTTATGAATAAATATTTATGGGTTTTAACAAAACAATGAATTGAGAAAAAAAATTTAATTATGGAGGGAAACAAGGATGATAGTTTTCCCACGGATTTGATAACCGTTATGGGCACCGAAGGCGTAATTCCCACCAAATTTAATCTGCCTACTCTGACATAAACGGTATTAATTATAATCAAATTAATCCGGCCAAAGAGAGTGGCTCTATAAATATGAAAATGCACGTACGGTACCGCAACGGCAAAGATAGATGAAAGACACAAATCACTTTCGTTAGGCAGATTTGAACCTGTGGTAACTCGCATGACTATGCCTTAAAGTAAACGGCATGTTGGCGAGCGACACCACGAACGCATCTTAGACCTGAAGGTCTAAATTTAGTTTTGTTCAAGAATAACATTTGAGCACAATTCTGTGTACACTTTGCACTGCTTCTATACAACTGCTTTAAATACTGCTTTACATGTACTGCTTTACATGCTTAGTATATCCAATTGGAGCTGCTTTAAACAGCGTTGCAAATTTGATTTCATTGCAAATTACCAAACAAAAAAACGAGTAAATTTTACGTTGTGTAACGACTTAGGGCTTGTATAAAAAAGTATTTATCGCATACGCTCAGTGGATAATAAGTGCATTACTACCAAATGGCTTCGAGATCGCTCCGTCTACTACTGCGCGCCTTTCCACTAATAATGGCTGTGGCTGAGAAAATGGTTACCACTTATAAATGGTGCACGTCTGCCTCTGGTGGAAAATGCACCAACTGAACACAAAGTCAATGTATTTATGTTTTCAAGTCAAATAAAATCTCTTAAAACATAGTAGCAAACGCTTTCGAATTTCAAAGCTAAGGCATCATTTGAAATAGAGCTTATTAAGAATAGTCTCAAAATAGCATAAGCAAAATGCAAGGCTCCGACGCTCAGGTATATATATATATCAATTTTCGCTTTTTCACTTTATTTGCTAATAATTTATATCAGCCGAAGCGCACTCAGAGCTATGTGAATGAGGCCTATCGTTTGCTTCTTGAGAAACCGGGCGTGGAGGAGGTGCTCATCATGAATCATTCGGGAGTGCCAGTCAAAACTTCAATGTCGCGCCAGGATGCACTGCAGCATGCCTGCCTCTATGACAACTTCCGTGAAAAGACCCAAGCATTCCTACAAAAGCTGGAGCCGCCGCAGACCCTAACTATGCTACGTGTGCGCACCAAATTGCATGAAGTCCTCATAACACCCGATGCCAAGATTACAATATTAGTTGTTCAAAATGCAAAGGATGCATATATGAAGTCCTTAGACCCTTAAATTATCGACTGTTTTCTAGAGGTCTATCGAACCCACACTGTTCTCCTTCGTTTTCATGTTCATGATCAACCAATAAATTCAGAGTGGTCTCTGCAGACTATATTTCCGGACAGAAACATATTATTTTCACATAACCCTCCACCCACAACTGTTTGCTTATCAATAGACCTGTTCGGCAACGTGGATAAACCTGCATTCTCAACTAACACTAATGCAACTCTTTCAGCACTCTCTAGAAGCTTCTTTTAGTGCTCAGCTGTCAACGCATTCGTTTAGCAACAGTTGTACGATTGGCTAGAATAATAATAATGAATATTCAATCAACTCTATGGCTTGTTCTGTCGTTCCTGCTATGTTCAGGCTCGCCTCCTGTACATTGCGACATTTCAAGTGCGAGCCACTACTCCCAAAAGGTGTCAAATTCTGTTCTGGATTTATACATTGACACCGACAGCATCAGCAGCAGCACCAACAGACACAGTGAAACAACAATGACAGTGACTCCTGACATTGTGCCCACACACATATATCCTTATTTGTTGCTGGCGCTGTGGGTTACATGCATAAGTGAGCAATCTGAATGAATACAAACTGATATTACTGATACGCTTATCCTTGCAGCCTGCGTCGTCTGTTGCTGCTTATACTGCAAGTGCCAGCAGGCGGAGAATATGACAGCGTACAACTCAAATGGCTTTGAGCTTCGGGAAGTGCATGTCCAGAATCATCCTTTGCCGCACGTCCAAGGATGCGTTTGCCTGGGCTGCTTGCAGCGGCAGATAGCCAAGGAGATGCAGCTAAAACGCGAATGCTAAACACAATTTTCGAGACGTTAAGTAACAAATATATAAGTTTATATTCAAGATTTGGCCAAATCTACATATATATGTATATAATACATATATTAAAAAAAGCTTACTTCTATTTAAACAATTAAATTCGTCTTTTTATCGAATGTCTTCAGGAACTTTTGTCTTATTGGATTGAATATTTTCATTCTTTGGATAGTTTCGTTTTAATAGACTTCAATAATAATACCTTAGCTGATTCGTAAGCAAATGTTGAGCATGTTTAGCGTCTATTTAATCTGCAGCTTGGATAGTGTAAGTTGATCTACATCCAGCGGGGAGAGACTCAGTTTCATATTAAACTGCGTGGCCAGCAGGCGAAGCATGTCGAACTCCTTGTCCGTGTACATTTTGCGACTCATATTGAGAGACTGCAAAGAGGAATTTTTGAACTCTTTCAACTGCGATTCGAATTCGCGTTTGAGCTGTTGATTTGAAACGTTTTCTTCAGATTTCTTCTCCGGCTGCTTTTTGACTGCCAGAGCGCGTGTCCAAATCTCACGCACAGACTTCTTATATTTACTAACACGCTGCTCCACTTTGATGATCTCCTCGCTAATCTCCTTGTTGTTTGGTTGTTTGGCTTGCGCCTGCACAAAACTTTTGCGTGCCTGCTCGTAATCCCCTAGCGCGGCCAAAGCGCGTCCTTCTTGGAACAGAGCCTTGCAGGAGGGCTGATTGTCAGTCAACCGCCGCAGAGCTTTCATAGCAATGCACACGCTCGCTGGTTTGTTCACCTTGTTGTTGCACACCATGAGGTTGGTGTAGAGAGTAATGAGCAGATCCCGCTGCTTGATCTCGTCCTTCTCATCAGCCAGGCGGCAATAGTTGAGCGACGCAATGGCCCGTTCAAAGGCCGCAACTGCATTGCGATAGGAGCCACGCTTCACACAATCCTTGCCATGCAAATGCATATCCTGCGCCTTTGGAAAAACCACTTCAAACTTGTTGCGATCCTCAGGGGCTATATTCTCCAGAGAGTTTTCATCGCCAATCAATGTGAATTCGATTACTTCAATTTTGAACAAACCATCCGCACGTGGTTTTATGCGCGGCGGGCAGCCCATTTCGTGGAACAGCAATTTATATGAAATGATAAACTCTGATTGCTCGTAGACGCTCATAGTGCGAACCGCAGCCTCGAGACCCTCGAGAACCATATGCTGGCCCGTTTCGAACTCAAATTTGGTTCCACGCAGCATAGACGAATCGAATGGAGCGGTCTGGCCCTCCCAGTATGCAGTGTAACGCAATGCCACGCGAGCCTTATCCGGAACGAGGCCCTGCTCCTTGATACCTGCTCGTGTAATCCGTTTGTAAATATACTCATTCACGGGCGTCATTAGTTTGCGCAGCTCCTCAAAGGAACGCGTCCATGGCGAGACGAGAGCCTCATGATCAATCGCCTCCTCATCAACATCTTCATCGTTGTCATCCACAACAAAGTCATCATAGGCAGTATTATTGTAATTGGCCGTATCTACTTCAAATTGTGTACCAGCATTTATCAAATCACTTAAAAGAAAATTATAACTATTGAATGAAACCTTACCACGTTCTTCTCATTAAACTTACGCAAATGATAATGGCTCCTTAAGCAATTGAGGGTTTGTATTGTAGGTGTCCTCCATTGCAATAGAAAACTGTGAAACCAAATGTTCTGTCGAATTTACAGCACGTTGAGCTTATAATTGGTAATATGACCTTGTGCGCAACAAGGAATACACGCACTTGTTTCAAGCAGCCTTTCGATAAACTGTTTCAACGATCTGTCATCGAATTGAGTCAGTGTTGTAAAGGACGTGCTTAAATCTGCGTTTGCACACTGACCCAAGTCCGTGGTTTGCATCAAGTGCTACAAACACATATATGATTAGAGCAATAATCATTAAAAATATACACTAATTTAAGTATTTATTTAAACATTTTCCTGAAAATGAACACAAATACCAGCTTACACAAATATCTTTTTTGGTGCATACAATATAATACAAAATAACAAAAAAAAATAATAAACAAGGAATGCTCAATGATGGCGACAAAAACCAAGATTTAGTGGTTTTCATTAGAGGCGATACGATTAATATGCATTCGAATTTATGGGCTATTCTATAGTATAATTATATATAAAATCATTTCTAGTGAATCAATTGGGCATCGAACTAAAATATTCACTTTTTTAGAAGCTTATTCATTTCTTTGTTTTGTTTGACCAAATTAATGTCCACGCTCTCAATTTTGTAGTTCATATTGTCCAGCAAACTGTTCTGCGACTCAATTTCAGTGCCCAAATCAGTGGCCAAGAACTTGAGGCGAGACAGATTATCGCACATCTCATCAAGATTCGATTCCAGTTGCTGCTGAAAAGGGTTCGCAGCGCGTTGCTGAGCCTGCGCCTGGCGCTGATGAAAGGAACTTCTATCGTCTCGAATACCACTAACTGGATGATTGTCATACCGCTCTGTTGGTGACATCGGATGCTTGGGTATTGCGCCACCACCAACACCACCTGACATCGAATTGATATTTGAGTTGGTCTCCTGAGATACTTGACTGCCAGAAGGCGAGGCAGTGGCCGTTGGAGCATCCCGATTGCCCGACAAATAGTTCTTAAGGCCGCCAAAAACACTTTTTAATCCGTTCAAATGACGCTGACTAAATCGCAGTGTAGAGTTTATTTCATCTAACTGATTTGAGGTCTTCTCTAGTTGTTCCCGCTGCCTGGCCAGCTCCACAGCGGTTGCTCTACCCACATCCTCCGTTTCGTAGAGTAGACCTAATAACGAGATTATTTAATTGGTACGCCCACAAAATAAATATGTACATTTTGTTTATCTGAACATACCCAAACTCTTTTGCGTTGAGTCCAGTGTACGCTGCTCTATTTCTCTGCGCCTCTCTGCGTAGGCCTGTCTCTGTGCTGCGATTGACGAAGATGTTGATATCTCGTCATCATCTTCAAACGGATTCGTACTGCGTTGTGCCTTTCCTTCACTTGTTCGCGTGTTTCGCAAAAACAGGTCATCGTCTACGTCCGCAAACTTATCTATATCAAAATGATTATTCACTGGCTGCAGATAGTTATTGGCCATTTTTTAATTGCGTTTGACCAATAAGCACAATTTATAGACTAATTTAAATATGTTAATTTTGTGGTCACTGTGTCCAATTTAATTTTAATAAAATATTTTTTCTTTGTTGTTATTCGTTTTACTTATCGGATATACAATCGTTATCTAATAGAAATATCGATAGTTGGCTTACGATGATCAGAACAGTGCGCTAATAGATTTTTGTTGCTAACGCAACGGTATATGCACAACAGTGATCAATAATATGAAATAGTAGAGATTTGTCAGAATTTTCATATTTTTCTGGGTAAAACTCGTGGCATTTGATAACAGATGTATACAATTAATTATTATAAGATGCATTGGTTAGTGGAAACACTTAACTGTAAATATTCAAAGAATCGATTATACGATAAGTCATCTCTAATGTCAATCTACATACTAACACATCTCTACTGTATCGGACCGGACGGCTCCGTGTCCGCAATTTTTACGTTTATTTTAAACAAAAGAAAACAGATCTAAACAAAGGAAATAATTGTGAAAATTTAGCAAAAACATAACAAAATTAAAAGCGTATTTCCAAAATATACACAGAACACCTTGCTAACATGCACTGTCCCTTAAAAATTTTGACCGCGTCATGTGTCATCGTGACGCTCTTCGCTGCACAAAACGCTGCTGGTGACCGTTCTTCGACGGCAACGAAAAGAGTGTCGCAGGCAAATGGCAACTTAATCGAGTTGGACGAGGACAATTGGCATTTAATGTTAAATGGCGAATGGATGATTGAATTGTAAGTAAATCGAGCAATGGAAATAAACGAAAAAAATCAACGCAGACGCAGTTTGTGTGGGGTGTTGCCGGTAAGCAGATACTACAATAGCAATAACCAATAACAGAAACAACAACAGCAACGGTAAAGCTGGTGTTGGAGCTGGTTCTAGTTCTGTGGAATGTTGCATTCCGCTTAGTGATGTGCGTTGCACGTTTCTGATTGGCTACGTCATTTGCTGCGTGCCTGAGTCATGAGCCGGCAGCTGCGTTTTTACAGCTGTTTTCGGCACAAACAAAAAAAAAAAATGAATAGTTTTAAACAAATATTGGAGCAACATAACCAAAAAATAGACAACGTGTGCCTAAAATTTCCTTTGGGAGATACAAAAATTCATGTTTAAATATGTACAAATATTATGCTAGAGATCTAGGCGTATGTCCTTATATACGGATTAAGAGGATGTGTTTGAGGCGAAGGCATCCAGCCTTACAAATAATAGGATGCCTATTTACTTATAGTCTCTTCTGTATAAAATTAAATTCTGAATATTAAGCGTTCATATAATAATAAATTACATTGTGCATATTCACATCTTTTTCCTGCAGCTTTGCTCCCTGGTGCCCTGCCTGCAAAAATTTGGCGCCAGTTTGGGAACGATATGCGAGCACAGCTAAGGATGTTAATGTCAATGTGGCCAAGATTGATGTAACCACATCGCCATCGCTTAGTGGACGCTTCTTTGTCACCGCCTTACCCACTATTTATCAGTAAGCTTAAAATATATATACGATATACAATTTGTAAATATTAATGATAATTTTGCATTTAACGCAGCGTGAAGGATGGAGAATTCCGACAATATCGTGGCGCACGCGATGCCGATGCTTTGTTATACTTCTTGAAAAAGAAGTCGTGGCAGAGTATTGAGCCGCTGTCCTCATGGAAAAAGCCCGACACCATTCATATGTCCCTTCTATCCTATTTCTTTAAGCTGTCGCACACATTGAAGGTACATAACCCATGCAATCGCTTGTTTACGTCTGCTTCGGTTTGATTATGTCGTAGCTTAGTTCAATGGACGCATGCGGAAGCTTATCTCGCGAGATTGGGCCAAGAGGTTTTATTCCATATATTCTCTATCTCCCAATGAACTGTAACAGTGGTGCAAAGCCGGTTTAATTAATTAAATTTACCAAATCGGGCTCAGTCATTGCTTTATAAGTTTCCGCACATTCCCAAGCTTTTGCATAATGAATATGTTATATATTGTATATACTAATAGCGCACACAAAAACTCTTTAAGGATTTCAACGCTCGCCTGCAAGAGGAATATGGATTGCCCACCTGGGGCTCCTATGCATTGTTTGCCATCGCCACAATATTTGTGGGAGCTGCCCTGGGGTTGATGCTTGTGTGCATTGTGGACTTTGTTTACCCTCCAAAGAAAGCACAGCGTCAGAGCTTCTCCGAGTCGCAGGAGCATCTAGCAGAAGGGGTAGAGGACCTAGCTACCGAGGAAATCGAAGATGATGAGGAAGCTGTCGAACATGAGGGACGCCACAGCGATGATGATGATGATGAGGAGGAGGAGGAAGAAGATGCCGAAGTAGAGGCGGAACAGAAGCAAAATAATGGTGACACTACAAATAAAAATAAGTCTGAAAACAAGGTAGAGAAAACAGCAGCAACAGACAAATCGGCCGGCGATGAGGCGTCTGAGAGCACAGATAAACCCAATACAGAACAGGTGCGCAAGCGTAAGCCCCGCAAGGCGGATTAGAGTATGCTCGAGGTATGCTGAGCGACGCGTAGGGTGGCAACAAAAAGACTAACATAACATTACAAAAGAAACAATCGAAACATTTAGCATTGTAACAAACCAACTTTATGCAATTTGTTGGTAATTGTAATTGAATTGTTCGATTTCGCGCACAATACGAGTAATTTTGTCTCATTTGAAATGTATTCCAATTGAAGCTGCAGCAGATTATTTCTCCCTCACGCGAAGACTTTGCTAGTAGCAAATATTCGAGTACCGGCAATCGCGTCCTAGCACCAACATGTATTTCATAATTATAAAGGAGTAACAATAATTAAATAATTAGTCATTTTATTTAACGTTTGCATTTCTCATGGCTTTCATAGTTTCACTTCTAATTAATGTGTTCACATTTACTTACAAGTAACCATATTTTTTCAATATTTTTAAATTTCCCGAATAAAACGGCAAACTGTATTAAATTTGTGTATTACAAATGAAATTGATGTGTCTTTCGTCAATAAGCTAATGCAAATATTGCATTTAAAACCTCTTGATCCAGCAAGATGCATTAAAGCGACCAAATAACATTCGAGCTGACATTAAATAAAATGATAATGCAACGAGAAAACTAAAAACTAAATTTTAAGAATTCAATTCATTGAAAAATAATAATATAATATATTAAAATCATTCAATGTGTATTTTACTGAAGTGTAATTCTATGTAAAACAATCACCATTAAACACTTTAAATAAAATGATATATACATTTACTATTAAAATTTGCTTCTTATTGATTATAAAAGAAAAGTAACATTTTTTATTTGGTGTGCGTAATTTGAGACTACATTTGACGTTTGATTGGTGGCAGCCAGCCCTTCATCCGATGCTCATCCGCCAGTGTGCTATCGAGATCCAGACAGGACATGCGCGCCAAGCTCTCTTTGTACCCGAGCAAGTGTTTCGCATCCAAGTCGGATATGTCGCCCTGTGCTTGATTACCCATGTAGAAGGCTCTTTGGCACTTGCGTGCAAAATCCTTTTCTAGCGTCTTGTCGACGCGCAGATAGCGTCGGCAATTATCCGCCACAGACGATGAGCGCTTCCGTATTTGAATCTCGCGGTGTTGGACGAATGGCGACAGCGGGGTATCCTGCAGCTGAGCAGTTACTGCGCGTGTATAGAAGCCATACTTGTTCATTGTATCGGATCTAAAATTTTGAATACAGTTTTTTGTTTTTGTTTTTTCCTACACAAATATTTTTAAACAGGAGTCGAGAATTATCTGGCTAGCGCGTGACGTAAATGAAACAGACTTATTTCTCATTTGTAATTTTGATGTATTTGTATTTTAGTCGTTCGTAATTTACAAGTTTGATCTAACTTAAATGTCAAAAGCGAAACTAAACCAAAGATTTACATTTTTTTACATTTATTTTTATTTTATTAAATAGGTTAATAGGTGTATGAAAAATCCCTGCAATTTTGTTATGTTTAAAACTACAATGACAATATATATGTAAGTGTGTGTGTGTGTTTGCCAAATTTGTTGTTTCTTAGAAGTTCATTGTTGCCAAAGTAATAACTATTGTTTACACATTGTTATTGTTATTGTTACTGTTACTGTTATTAGTATAAAAAGGTATAAAAGTTGTACATTTAATTATGTATTTATTTCATTTGCGCCTGCACTTAAACATAAACTTGTTTAATCTGCCTGCTTTGTTGTTGCTTGGTTTTTTCGTTTGTATTTTCACTTGGCACTTGTGATCAATGAATTAACTGTTGCTGGTTTTTAAATATATTAAAGAGAAACAAAATGACAACATTTTGATTGTGAAACAAATAACAGATTCAACAAATGGCTATGGCTATTGTAGATTCGATGCGATTTAACGGTAGGGACTTTGAGGGGTTTGTAGGTACTTGGTGTGTGTTTTTTTAAATAAATTTCTATATATAAAATATATATTTGATATATATTTTTTTGGTTGTAAAAATTGTACTATTGCAGCGTATGGAGGAAGTTTGTGGGAAAAAGGATTATCGGGATAGGGAATATTTTGTGTGTATGTGTTCATGTTTTCAAATACTTTAAGTAATTGTGTATGTGTGATAAATTTTGGATTTTCAGTTAATTCGTATGTTTCTTTTCTTTCACGGTTTTAACAAACGCCAAATGCTTACACTGATATGCATATGTATGCAAGCATATTGTGTGTAAGTGGTTTTCTGACAGCAAAGAACATTCGTAATTACTTTAAATATTTAAAAAGCATTAATCGTGTGCATTAAACATTTTGCAAATGCAACTGAAAGCAAAGAAACGGACAAAAAATATATGATTCAAGTATTCAAAACAAAGAAAAAAGTGCGGCAGCAAGCAACTAGTGCTGCCACCCATCAATTTCTGGTAGCTATCGATAGCAATTTAGCACATTTTTTGCATTAAGCTTTCAGTTACACTTGTGGGAGGGTTGGTGGCGTTGCCATCGTTGTAAAATTAACTCTTGTTTTGCTTTGAAGGCGCACAAAAGCTAATTTTAAAACAACGCAATTGACTTAAACTACTAAATAACTGGCTAGTTGTATATGAGGTATTTGTATGTGTTGAGTGATGATTGTGGAAATTTTGTGTGGCAAATTTGGGGAATTTTGTAAACCGGTCTATTGCATAAAATTGCAGGTCCGTCGCCTTGCAGTCGCAAGGGACGTGAAAAAATGTAGCAGTAATATTTAAAAAACTAGTTGCCGCTGGCTATGCGACAAAGTCGAGCGGCCGATTGAAGCCACCCTTACGGTTCATATACTGGCGATACTTGCGCTTGAGGATTACATGCACTTCACCAACATCGTTGCCCTCGACTTTCTTGTTCTTGGTGGTGTCAAAGGTGCAGAAGCCCATTGTTTTCAGCATCTCAACCTCTTCCGGCGATTTACCCTCCAGATCTGCTTCATTGATCTTTGGACGCTCTGCAGCTGCATTCGCTGAATTGTTCCGTGTGGCGCGTCTGGATGTCGAAGGGCCTGAGCTGCTGCCTGCACGACGTGAACGGGATCTGTGAAAGGATATGAGAGAGAGAGAGAGAAAGCGTCTCCTACTTAATGAACTGGAAGTTGATTGCATTTAAATCAAAATGGAAATACATAAATGCACAGATGCATTTATATAGGATGCACTTGGGCAAACTAGGGCAGGGTCATTTGTACATATGTATGTATACATTATACAGTTGTTTGAGGATCTAATTATGAAACGTGACGCCTTTCAATAATATTATACAACCGGTTATGCACCAAACTTATTTGTGGTTGTCTTGTATTTTTGCCAACTGTTTACAAAGGATAACAAAATCAATGTGTGTGTATGCGTGCGTGTGTGTGTGTACTTAAATATAATAGAAAGCTGTTTTGTTCGCTTAGGACATCTCCTCGATGAGTGCGGCACGCAGCTTTGTCGTCACCGTCGCCGGCTGGGCTTGATTCAACTTGAATACGCTCTCAATGACGGAAATCTCGGTAGCTGTTGTATTCATGCCCACAAACGAGATCCAATCGTTGACGACCATGCCGGCAGCCAGGACTTCACTGCCACGATTCACAGTGCCCGCAACTAGAGGCACTTGCAGCAAGGACGACAGCTCATCTTGATCCTGAATGCTTGTCTTGGGATGCACCATGCCGCCTTGATTGCTCAGCACTGTGTAGGAGCCGACAAGCGTGTTGTCGGCAATGGTCTGGCGAAAGACTTCTACATTGAGCACGTCTGCTATGATTTCTTCCGTCTCCTTATCCAAATCGGGATGCACCAGGGCCACATAGTCATTGCACGCAATCACGTTGCCCAAAGCAGACAGACGCTCCTCGACACGCTGTATCTTAACGGCATCCGGCAGACTGTTGCGCAAATGTTGCAGCTCCTCATCGGTGGTGGAATGCGGTACTAGCAGGCCGTTGCGATTGCCAACGGTGAGCCGGCCAATTATTCGGCAGCCACCGATGTTGGCATGGACGACAGGTATGGTCTCGGCTAATTCGGCCTCGTAGGCACTGTAGAAGGTCTCCGAGCCACCAATGGCAACCAGGCAATATGTGTTTGTTAATTTGCTAAAGACGCCAATATCGTCATTGTTCTCGAATTGCACGCGCAGCGCCATTTTGTGTGAGATTTAGTATTGTATTTATTATGTCGAACAATAAAACTATATTCGCTTCGAGCCCTGTCCGCTTTCTGATGCCCCACACTTGACGCTGTATGGTTTTAGCACAATCTAATAATGTACTTTCAGCTGTGTTGTGAAATTCGTGTATTTCGCTTCACGTGGTAATTTGCTAAATAGTTGCCGAAAGAACAATTGATCTGGGGATGGCAGACAGCGAACTAGTGTGCTGTCAAATCGCACGCACAGCACACACAGGGCTGCATTATAACAGCAAATAAGAGAACTAGTTCGTTAAAATTGCCACGCTTTTAAATTAAGCTTTTATCACGAGGCATACTAAGTTGTTTTGTATAGGTATGGTTAGTGATTATATACGTAATAAATGTGTTAAAAAAAATCGCTAGTACTTTATACTTATCGTTGTGGTTTGGTACACTACACTTGCTTATTCACCTCGAACGCCTTCCCCTCGCACGTTCACGGTCGCGCTCACGCTCACGGTCCCGGCTGCGGCTTCTTTCGCGCTCACGATCACGTTCCCGCTCACGGCGACTGCTGCTGGTGCCAATCCCAATGGCTTCTCTTTCTCTTGAGCGTCTTTCTCGGCGCTTTTTGCGTTCTGTGCGCTCCTTTTCCCTTCGTCTGTGTGCGGGCGAAGCGGGGCTACGACTGCGACCCATCTTAATCCTTAATATTTATGTGTACGTTTTTTAAACGTTTACAAATATAAAAGGCCTAAGTAGTCACATTTATTTAAAATTCTTGTTATCAATAATTAACCATCGCGAACACTCACCGTTGCTTAATGCTGTGTCTAACTTAAATTGGACGACACCGGCATTAAGTCGAACGCTCTAAACCTAAAACTAAATGTAAAAACGAAGTGCGTTCCTTCACACCCGCGACGCCAAAACAGACTGCAAATGGCCGCTTGTCACAACAGCTGATTGTGGTTCACATGTAGGAGTTTTGCATTTTTCGGAGTATAATCAGTGTGACCATTTTTCTACTTAGCACTCGATATTCCATATTCGAATCGTTCGGAAATACCAAACTCGGAAATACCAAACTTTGGTATCGAAATGTCAAAGGACAGAAAGATGCTTTTAATAATAAAACACACCTCTTTAAATAAATTTAGTAATGCTATTAAAATCCTTATTTCGAAAATTGTAGGGCCCAGCGATTATTCCTAAAACATTTCAGCTATTTTTTAATTCCCAACATTTACCGCCAAAAGATCGATAAGTCTTATTAATAATCAGTTTTTCATATTTTTCATATTTCGAAATGAAAGATTTGTTACATATTGGTCTAATTGTGCCAATTGATCAAATTTTGATTTTAAATTCTAGATTAATCTAAACGGATCACTCACATTATAAGTTCAATTGAAAAAGGTCATCGGTAGCATTAAAGTACGTTAATTTGAGTGTGTATGTGTGGAATGTGTATGTAGGAAGTGGCATCACATAGCAACGATCACTTTGATATTACACATTTATAATATTCTCTTCAACCTTTACATAATGAAGATTCAAGCTGCCGGCGCCAGCTAAGCGTAAGCGATTCCAATTAACCTACCTACATATTGCCCACATAGACGCATTATCGCATTATCATCTTTTGCTCTTATCAGCAGCAAGCTATGCAACTAATTGCCATGTTGTTTATATGCGCGAATAAGCACAACAAAACACAATAATGAATAAGCAGAGCAAACAGCTGTTACTTCATGCCGAAAAGCTCTTTATCAAAGCTTTTGTATTGGGCCCCACACTCGCTGAGCATCGCAGTTCTCAATTTGCAGGCAGCGCCGGTGGGTGCCCCAGTACTTTTCATTTCGTTGTTCTTTCTGTGTATTTTAATTTTGAAGCGACTTGCAAGATGGGTGATCCAATGAAAGTGGAAGTAAAGGACATTGACAAGCTGCTCGAAATGGATGGCTATCTGAAGCCGTTCGAGCGTGAGATTCGTCGCCGGTAAGTTAGAGTTGTCATCACAGAATGCGGTTAGCGGTTAGAGACGCGCTTCATATAATCCGAAGTTTTCACCGGCTGATAAGCGGATCACTGTGGAACAGAGCAGCAGATTGTTGTTGTTTCAGTTGCGCCTTACAAAATCATATCAACTGGCTTTGCACTGCTGCCCGAAGTGCAGTTGGTAAAGTGAGGCGGTCAATGTCAGTTGAAGGTCGTGCGTCTAATTTATTTCGCTTTTTTGCTTTTTGCGTGTGCGTGCGAATGATGCCCTGGTGCACCGCAAACATTTGGAACTGCCGTCGCGCCATTCATTTGTATTGGCCTTGAGAGCTAAACTTGATTTCCTTGTTTTGTTTCATTAACTCTTATACAGGCATGGCGTACTGAAGGATTGGATTGCGAAGATTGATCAATGCGAGGGCGGCTTGGAAGAGTTCTCGCAGGGCTACAAGTACTACGGCCTACATTTTCAGCCGGATAATTCAGTGATTGCACGCGAGTGGGCGCCGGGTGCAAGAGACGTGTATCTTACTGGCGATTTCAGTGAGTATACAAACATTGATTAGAGGCGAAATGCCCTCTTCAATAAATGTGAAATGAAAGATCAGATATAGTTCAATATTTGGGTCGTTAAGGATGTGCAAGGGAGCTAGCACCAGTTTTCGCCTCGCTTGCCGATTCGCTCTTATACTGCCAATTTAAAAGCTATTTAAATATCGATAGCCGATCAACTGAAACGTAATCGATTGTAGAGAAAATTCGAATTTAAAAAAGTTTTTTTTTTTTTTAATTTATTGATTATGGTCACTTTAATATCGATTTTTAAACAGTATTTATATTATAAATTGATCTTCATATAAATTCTTCCAGACAATTGGCACTGGGAATCGCATCCGTACAAGAAGCTGCCCTTTGGCAAGTGGGAGCTTCATTTGCCCGCCAATCCAGATGGCAGTGCGCCAATTAAGCATCTTAGCGAGATAAAAGTCATCATACGCAACCAGCACGGTCAGCTATTGGATCGTCTCTCGCCCTGGGCCAAGTATGTGGTGCAGCCGCCCAAGAGCGCCAATCAGGGAGTCAACTACAAGCAGTATGTGTGGCAGCCGCCAGAAGGAGAGCGCTATCAACGACAGAACGCACGACCGCCCAAGCCCAAGTCCCTGAGGATCTACGAGTGCCATGTGGGCATAGCCTCGCAGGAGCCTCGAGTGGGCAGCTACGATGAGTTCGCGGATCGCATTGTGCCGCGCATCAAGCGACAAGGCTACAACTGCATCCAGGTGATGGCCATCATGGAGCACGCCTACTACGCCAGCTTTGGCTACCAGGTGACCAGTTTCTATGCGGCTTCCAGCCGCTATGGCAACCCGGAGCAACTCAAGCGCATGATCGATGTGGCCCATGCCCAAGGTCTCTACGTGCTACTTGATGTGGTGCACTCGCATGCGTCCAAGAACGTGCAGGATGGCCTAAATCAATTCGATGGCACCAACAGCTGCTTCTTCCACGACGGCGCACGTGGTGAGCACGCTCTTTGGGATAGCCGTCTGTTCAACTATACGGAGCACGAAGTGCTGCGCTTCTTGCTGTCCAACTTGCGCTGGTGGCATGATGAGTACAATTTCGATGGCTATCGCTTCGATGGCGTCACCTCCATGTTGTACCACTCGCGCGGCATCGGCGAAGGCTTCAGTGGCGACTACAACGAATACTTTGGCCTCAACGTGGACACAGATGCACTCAACTATCTGGGTCTCGCCAACTACATGCTGCACAAGCTGGACCCTGAGGTCATAACCATAGCTGAGGTGAAAATTGTATTCCAACTCGTACTTCTTCCTACTTCTAAATTTGTTTTCTGTTTGCCAGGACGTTTCTGGCATGCCGACACTGTGTCGCCCCGTGTCGGAGGGCGGTATTGGATTTGACTATCGCCTGGGCATGGCCATTCCAGACAAGTGGATCGAGCTGCTGAAGGAACAAACCGACGATCAGTGGGACATTGGCAACATTGTGCACACGCTGACCAACCGACGCTGGATGGAGAACACGGTGGCCTATGCCGAGTCCCACGACCAGGCGCTTGTCGGCGACAAGACCATTGCCTTCTGGCTGATGGACAAGGAAATGTACACGCATATGTCCACATTGTCTGAGCCGTCGATAATCATTGATCGTGGACTGGCACTGCATAAGATGATTCGTCTCATCACGCATGCCTTGGGCGGCGAGGCATATCTCAATTTCATGGGCAATGAGTTCGGGCATCCCGAGTGGCTCGACTTTCCGCGCGTGGGCAACAATGACTCGTACCATTATGCGCGTCGCCAATGGAATTTGGTGGATGACAATATGCTAAAGTACAAGTACCTAAACGAATTTGACCGTGCCATGAATGAGTTGGAGGAACGCTATGGCTGGCTGCACTCGGGCCCCGCCTATGTGAGCTGGAAACACCAGAGCGACAAGACAATCCACTTTGAGCGCGCAGGTCTCGTGTTTGTGTTCAACTTCCATCCCACTCAGAGCTTCAGTGATTATCGCGTGGGCACCAACTGGGCTGGCACCTATCAAGCGGTGCTTTCCTCCGACGATCCCCTCTTTGGCGGCCACAATCGCATCGACATGAATTGCAAGCATCAATCGGATCCCTGGGGCCATGCCGGTCGCTCCAACTTCATTCAAGTCTACACGCCCTGTCGCACCGCCGTCGTTTATGCCAGAATCAGCGATTAGATGCGTTTGTTGGCTCATTTTGTTGTTATGTAATTATATATACTTATATATATACAACCTATAATCTGGGAATTTCAAAATTAGCTGTAGTTCTTGTTTATGTTACGACAGCTTCATTGAAATATATACACAATTGAGATATAGCTCTACAAAATGAGTTCTCTAATTTTAGGAATCTTTAGTGAAAATCTCGACTTCATCATTAATATTAAAATGAAGTGGGATTAATTCCGTCATCCACCTACCGCAATGAATATTTCAATGAATTTCCATTAAGACAGTCTGATATTTTCATTTTTAAATTTTTATTTTAGTTCTTTATTTGCTTTGAATTTTTAAAATTGTATTTTTGTTGTCGTTTATAATAAATATATATTCATATATGTATAGGTAATTATTATTCATAGACTTTTTATACATAATGTATTCTACTCATGTTTTGCTTAWTTATTTGCTTGCAGTTTCGTTCATTCGTTACGACTTACATAATCTACATAATTATCTTACAAAAAGTGTGCCTAACTCTTTTATTGTTTTTGTTTGGTTTTTTTTTTTCTCATTTTTGTTTTCTTTCTCTTTTTTCGATCTTAGTATAAATATGCCTTGAATCCTTATCATTGTCTTCCAAAAGTTATAGTTAGTTAGTCCTAAGCAATAACTTTAGGTTTTTGTTTCGTTTTGTTTTGCATTATGATTATGAAAAAATACTTTGATCTTAACTATGGTACCGCGCTTAGTATTAACAACTTAGGTCAGTGCTATGCTTTAATTCTTAGGTCTAACTTTAATCATAATCAATGTGTTGTTCTTAACGTATGCGGAGGGCTTAACAAAATTGCAAATAATATATTTTATTTTTTTGTTGCTTTTCATTTCATTTTTAAATAATATACAACATGTGGGGAAAGGTGAGTGGATAGTCTCTGTTATTTGGGGAGCAACAATAAAGAAGATAAATAAAATAAAAAATAAATAAATACGGCCAATAYGCTAAATGAAATACGCTGCATAGCTGCCAGATAATCAAAGTGGCTTCATCTATATATTATATAGAGTATATATATAATGCAAAGGAACAAATTATTTATGTATCTCATTTACATATGTATTTAAGAGTTAGTTAAAAATATTAAAATATTTAGTAAGTCGAAATTCAGTTTGTATCTATATATATTCTATTTTTTGTTAGCAAATAATACAGATTAAGTTGCTTGTTTTATTAATAATTATTAAATTAAGTTAAACATAAATTTTGTCTGGCGCTGAGCTCTGCTGCCAGCGCCTGGTCAAAATCTTTGTTAGAAAACTGGGCTCGGGTGTCGTATGTTTGGTTATTTTGTTTTTGCACTTAAATATAGGCTTAATGCTTAGAAAATAATTTAAATGTTCGAAATTTACAGAATTCATTGCACAACACTGGCTGTGCGTGAGTGAGTGCGCGTGTGTATGCGATTATGCATCTGTGTGTGTGCCTACATCACGAACAACATTTGCTTGCTTTCTTCGCTTTACATGAATAATACATATGCATATACTATATACATAGTACATATGTGTATGTATAGGATTCTTCTGTATGCTTAATGTATTATGTATATATATATATAGAAAAATAAATTTGGTATGCATTTTAACATTGTGTAATATCAGTTGTGTTTTCTTCTTCACATGCTCGCAAAGCTTTTCAATTGGGTTGTGGCTGCTTTCTAAGTTTAACTTGGCTTTTATTGTTTAAATATCAATTTTATTTTGTTTTGTTTTGATTTCCTTTTTTAGTGCTGCTCTTTTTGGTGGCCAAATGCGTCGATTTTTGGTAGATGCCCTACGTAAATGGAGGCGGGGCAGGTGGAATATTGTGGATAGAACTCTAGGAATTTGTTGCAGCTGGCAGCAGAGCAACACAACGAGCTGTGCCACGTGCTGCTCTGCGGCAGGTGCAACGGGCTGGAGATTTAAAAGAAATATGTGGTTGGCATTATCGTGGCATTATTCAAAAATCGACCCATTTGGCCACCCATTAGACCCTACGCGGCGAATAGTTGCGCTGCAGCAGCAACAGCTGCAGCCTGTTGCTGTTGTTGCTGCTGCTGCTGCTGCTGTTGTTGGTGGTGTTGCTGCTGCAGCGGCGCCATAATTGGTATGGCGGTGCCGTCGGCCGTCAGCAGCAGCGTTTGCGTTTGCGTCTGCGCTGGCTGAGCTGCTGCTGTCGGCTCGGCTAAGGCCATATTGGCTGTCGGCCAGTCCGCGGGCAACACAATCAACTGCTGCTGGCCAGCTTTGCTGGGATGCGCGATGATGCTGCCGTCGGCTGACTGCACCAATATGGTATTCGGTGGCAGATTGAAGCAGGTGACAGTGCCATTGGGTCCCACGGTTTGTAGCTGCAGCGCCGCCGGCTGCTGCTGTTGCGGCTGCTGCAGCAACATGGCAGATGTTGTCGTTGCAGCTGCAACCGCTGCTGCTGTCGCATTATGATTGCTGTTGCTCCCGCTGCTGAGATCAAGACCGTCGCTGTCGTTAACTGTTTGTTCCAGCACCTGCTGCTCCTCGCAGCCAGTCGCCTCCTCGTCGATGACCTCTTCCACCAGATCATCCTCGTTGAGCTCTTCGATGATGTCGTCTGTGTTGTCCACATAGCTGGCTGCATCTAGAGCAACGTTGCCTCCAGTTGCGACCATGGGCGGCGAGGGCGTCGGCGTCGGCATGGCCAGATAACCATCCGCCGACTTGGCTGTCAGTGCTGTGCCCTTGGGTATGCGGAATTTGCGCAGGATTTGTGCTGTCGATGAGCACAGGGCGGCATTCAGTGTGTCCGCATCATCATAAACATCCTCATCAATGAGCTCCTCCTCTTGCTCGATCAGATGCTGCTCTTGCTGTTGTTGCTGCTGCTGTTGTTGCTGCTGCTGCTGCTGTTGCTGCTGCTGTTGCTGCAGGTTGGATGCGTCTGGCGTAATGATAACCTGGCGACTGCGGTTGGCATTCGCATTGACGCGCAGCAAGGTGACCGCTGGCTTGCCGCCCGCTTGGCTGCCATTGAGCAAGGCGAGTGGCGGATGCTGCTGCTGCTGCTGCGGCTGTTGTTGTTGCTGCTGCTGAGATTTGTGAACAGCTCCACGTGCGGCCAGCAGTATGACAGGCGTCTTCTTGCCAATTGTTGTCTTTATGCCATTGCTGCTGCTGCTAACGTTGTTATTGTTGTTGTTGCTGTTGGCAGCACTGCTGCTGTTGCTGCCGCTGCTGTTGTTGTTGCTGTTGTTGATAATGGTACCGCTGCTGCTGCTGATGTTAGAGTTTGGAATGAGAGATGAGACAGCATTGGGATTATTAGTGTGTTTGTTGTGCACTTGCAAGTCGCGTCTGCTTTTCGAATGGCTACGATTATGTGTTACAAAGTCTGCGAATTTGTCGACGAAGCTGACAGAGGCGCTACGATTGCTGTTGCTGCTGCTGCTTTGAAAGCAACTGTTGCTGTTGCTGCTGCTGTTACTCTTGCCATTGCTGCTGCCGGCGGTAAGGCGAGCGCGAGTATTGGCTTGCTGTACGACAACATCTTCGTAATAGATTCGATTCGCTTCGCGCTGGCGACGTTGCCGATCATTCTTGTTGTTGTGGTTGTTGTGCATGTTGTTCTGAATGTTGTTGTTGCGTGGTGTGTATGGCTGCTTGAACTGCGCTTTATTGTTGTTTATGTTGTTGTTGTTCTTGTATGCTTGTTGTTGTTCAAAAGAACCTGTGGTTGTTGTATGGTGATGGWGGTGGTGGTTGACGCATGTTGTTGTTGTTGTTGTATTTATGAATTTTTGTGTGCAAATCATAAAAATATGACATTAAAACAACACAAAACATGAACACAACGGGCGAACCGAAAAGTTGTTGAGGAAAATGAAGAAAAAGAAAAAAATATTTGGTTGAATAAACAATTTGATTAACATTTTGCATAATTTTTGATATTCTCATTAATTTAAGGCTTTTGCTTAGTTACTGGGTTAGTAAATCATAATTCATGTATATATGTGTTTGTGTGTGTGTGTGTGTATAAGTGGTTAGGTGAGTTATGTACATGATATGGAAAGATGTTGCTGTGAGCTTAATAAAAATTCCAATTGGACCAATTAATGTTTAAAACGAATTAAAAAGGGATGCAAATAAAAATTGATTAATTCGTTACTGCTTAACGACACAGACTGCAATGTCATTCAAACTGATCAACGTATCGTTGCCTGCATTTAAACTCATTCCGATATATAAGAATGAAAATATATTACTATCGATCTATCGATAAAAAGTTTAATAAGCAAAGTGTTAGCGTTAACAGAAATTATAAAATCGTTTACATATATAACTGATAACTAAATGTAAAGCAGATTATTGTCAAAGCCAGAAATATATTTAAACCAAAACTATTATTATTTTAAAAGTTTATATTCATACTAAATTATGATCCCCATTGACTTTTTTCACAAATATTCTTATTGAAGAGATTCTGCCCTGCCTGACACTGCGAAAATAAAACCAAGAAATTGCCTAACATTGAAATAAGGAACAGAGTGCTCTGGATGTGTGTTAACAGGGAACGGATAATGGGTAAAGGATAATTGGTTCATGGATTGTTATGAATGCGCTTATACAAAAATTGGTTAAAAACAAACAAATAAAAACAAAATAATAAAACCAAATATTAACAATAAATAAAAAGCGAATTAAAAAAGTACACATACCTTGCACTTAAAATGTCCAATTTTATATTTATAAACATATGTATATACATTTATGTTATGATTTAGTTTTGATTTAATGTGAGGGTGTGGGAAGGACGTCCATTGTAAGCCAAATGCAAATGAAATGTTTTATGGAGTGTGCAAAAATGAATAAAGTGTGTGAAGTTTTCTGTTGTCGTATGCACACACACACACACACCCCCACACCCACATACATGCACAGACACTCGCTCACACACGATCAAGCGGTGTTGTATAAGTTGAATGTATGCGAGTTCATCCTTGCTCAGTGTGCTCAGTGTTGCAAAATGTGTGTGTTAAATGAGTATTATGAGTAAGCGTTTCGATTTATAACATATTTATGCATTTAATAATTTTTTTTTTTTTTTATATTTGCATTGTAAATGGCTTCCATTTGCGTTTTTTTTTTTTTTTTTTTATTTTTTTTTTTTTTTATCTTTTGTCTTGTTTTTTTTTTTTTTTTTGTTTTTTTGTTTTTTTTTTTTTTTTTATATTTGCATTGTAAATGGCTTCCATTTGCGTTGCTTTTCAATTTTTAAAATCTTTATTTAGTATTATCTTTTGTCTTGTTTTTTTTTTTTTTTTTTTTTTTTTTTTTTTTTTTTTTTTTTTTTTTTTTTTGGTACTTTGGCTGCAGTTGTCGCTTTTATATATTTCGCGGTCGTGTTGCTTTATCAGAGCGCTAGAAGCACGGCTTCTGATATATCGTAGCTATAGTTTCATTTATATTTTATAGACGAGTTTTGTTTATCGTTTGATTGATTGATTGATTGGTCGGTTGGTGGGTTGGTTTTGTGTACATAAAATAAAACAAGAGAAAAGAAAGAAAAAAAAAAGAACAAAATCGCATTGAACACATTGTAATTAAAATCATCGGTGGAAGTGAAAATATTAAAATAACAAACAGATAATGCCTATGTACAATAAATTCTTCAAAATATGTGAGTTGTATTTCTTTATCGTATATGGTAAAATGTTAATTTTTAAAGTTTCAGATTTAGAGCACTGGAGAAGTAAAGTACGTAACCGATAGCAAAAATAAAGCTGAATTGAAAGATTTGATGTATAAAGTTTGCGCGATAGAAATACGATATAAATAAATGCACAAATTTAAATAAAAAACTAAAACTAAACTAAGTTAAGCAAGATTGTTACATACTCAGAAATAATATTATAATATCAATATATTGAATTGAAAATACTTAAATACACATACTTAAAGAAAAGCTACATGAAAATTGACTAACAATTAAAAATAAATCTTGTTAATGCGCATTTACGTTGTATTTTAATTCGCAATTCAAATCGAAAATGCGATTTTTATTTGAAAGTAGTGTGTGTGTGTGTTTTTAGTAGAGGTCGCGACGTTGCTCAAAACTAGTCGAAAACATAAGTGAAACGAAACGGAATTCAACGCAACGTAACGGTACAGCGACAGCAAATACGCAGCGCCGCCGTCGACTACGCAAGAGAACTGATAAAGAGAGTGTGAGAGACAGACAGCAATAGACAGAAAGAGAAATGGAGAGAGATAGCGAGTAAATCTAAATCAAACGAGAACGCGTTACACTAAAAAAATTACTTAAATTGTAGCGAGTAGCATAGATTCATTTAAATAGTCATAATTATATATATATATGTATGTATGTATATTGTACATACATATATATTATGTGTGTATGTATATAAATAGAAAGAGACAGATAAAGAGAGCGAGAGAGAGAGAGAGAGAGCGAGAGGGGGGGGGGGAAAGAGAGCTATTTGAGTGTGTTTACCTAATTTCTTTGGTTTCCAGCAGCGACGAGGTATTCACATCGTTCACCGCATTTATCATCGAGGTGGGCGAGAAGGGCAGGTGGTACATGGAGGAGGCATCCAGCGTATAGGCGTCACTACTCTTTATCAGCAGCTCGTTCTTTAGCTCCATAAACTGTTGATGCGGATTGTGGCTGAACTGGTGCTGCTGCAGCAGCTGATGCTGCTGTTGTTGCTGCTGTTGCTGCTGCTGCTGCTGCTGGTGATGTTGCTGCGCATCTAGCGCATTCGCATTCAGCGTGGGCTGCGTGCTCGCGTGCGTGGTGAAGGTGTACTGAGGCGCGGCTGTGGCGCTCATCGTGTACGGACACAGATCGCCCAGCTCGCCGGTCTCCAGCTTGGGCTGAAAGCTCTGCAGGCCATCGGGCGTCAGTATCTGGTAGCTCTGCACTGTGCCGATGACATGTTGCTGTTGCTGYTGCTGCTGATCGCTGGGCAGCGTCGGCGTAGCCGCGGCCGAGCTGAGGTAGGTCACGTTGTCCAGCTCGTAGTGCGTGGGTTGCGTCTGCGCCTGGCTGCTGCTCACCTGCTGCTGTTGCTGCTGCTGCTGTTGAAGTTGCTGCTGAGTTGTCGTTTGGTACGTTGCTGTTGTCGCCCGCTGCTGCGGCGCTGGTGCCGTTGTGTAAATAGTCTGCGTGCCGTCCAGCTGCAGCGGCACCAGATTGCCCGCCTGATCTTGGATCATGATGCTCTGTCCATGCAGTTGCTGCTGCAGCAGCGCCTGCTGCAACTCCAGCTGATTCGAGTAGATCAATGTTGTCGTCGTCGGCTGTGCACTCTGCGTGGGCGTGGCCTGGCCACGTTGCAGCGTCATGGAGCTGCTTGCGCCGGGATTGGCCAGCGCCAGCTGTGCACCGCCTGGCAGTATCATGCCGCTAAAGTCGAGCGAGGGCAACGTTTGCAGCTGCTGTTGCTGCTGAGGTGCAGCTGCTGCCGTTTGTTGTTGTTGTTGCAGTTGCTGTTGCTGCTGCTGCTGTTGTTGTTGTTGTTGCTGTTGCTGTTGCTGTTGCTGTTGTTGCTGTTGTTGTTGCTGTTGCTGCTGTTGCTGCTGCTGTTGCTGCTGCTGTTCCGCCTCGGCATTCTGCACCTCATCCAGCACGCTGTCAATCTGCGCCAAACGCTTTTTGGTTGGCGTGCTGCTGGGCGTGGCCGCATCACCCGACTTCAGTTTGCGCACACGCGGCGTTCTGGAGGTGCGGGCCCGTTTCGCAGCTGGCGTGCCTGTCGCCTCCGCCTTCTGCGGCGTACTCGCAGCGGAGCTGGGAGGCATGGGCACGTCCCCGTGCTTGTCCTTTTTGTGCATCTTCATTTTGTCCGGCCGCGAGAACTCCTTGTTGCAGATGGGGCACGCGAAGATCTTGCGATTCTGGCCCTCGTGGAAGAGGTACGCGTGCCGCTGGAAGCTGTACTTGTTCTTGAACGTCTTGAAAATGTCGTTCTTCGCACAGACTAGGCAGTAGGCCACCCCATCGATGATGTGCTCGTAGCGCGCTATGTCCAAGCCACGCACACTCATCTTCTCCAGGTACTCGCCCTGCTCGTCCTCAGCTATGACTCGCGTTTTGCGTTTGCGCTTCTGTTTGGCTGCCGCCGCTTTGGAGAGCATGCCAGGCATGGCATCATTGATGCCGTGTTGCGATTGCTGTTGCTGCTGTTGGTGTTGCTGCTGTTGCTGTTGCTGCTGCTGCTGCTGCTGGTGTTGGTGTTGGTCGTCGTGGCCGCTGATTGTGTAGCTAGTGGTGCCAGCCGCCTGTTCGGCTGCTTCGGCCTCCACTTCGGCCTTGATTACTTGGTATTCCTCAAAGTCGTGATCGTGCTCCATGCTCTGCTCCTCGTACTTCACTTGCAGGCCGCTCTCCTCGTCCTCCTCCAGCATCTCCTCATCCTCGCCCACATGCTGCGGTTCGTACTTGATGATGTCCGCGGCGACGGCGCTGCTGCCGTTGCTCAGGCAATCGCTGCTCCCGTTCTCGCTCTTCAGCACATGGTACTCCTCGTAAGTGCTGCCATCGAACTCGATGATCGTGCCATCCGTGTTGACTAGCGCCGTGGTCGTTGTTGTTGTCGCTGCTCCAGCACCACCCGCGCCCGCACCTGATCCTGCACCACCAGAGCCATCTACGCTGCTAACGATGGGCGTCGCTGCGGCGGCGCTAACCGCCGTCGTGGGCATGCCACCGTTATAGTTCTCAAAGACTATCGTCGTGGGCGTCTGGCCATCCTCTCCCGTTGTGGTTATGTAGTGATATTGTGGTTGCTGCTGTTGCTGCTGTTGCTGCTGCTGCTGCTGCTGCTGCTGTTCCGTGGCTCCATTCGTGGTGGCGTTCGTGTGCAGGATGGAGGACGAACTAATAGTTGTGACCACATTGTCTTTTGTTTATATTGATTGAAAGTACATATTCGGTTTGGTTCATATAAAAGATGTGTTTCAATGTAATATTTGCATAAATAATCAATAAATCAATTCGAAAAATCGAAATCGAAATCGAAATCGTGATCGTAATCGTAATCGAAATCGAAATCAACAATTCACTCAAAAATCAGATACCGAAATCAAATGTTGTGCAAAATGATAGCTACAAATCATCATCGAACAACAAACAGCTTTTCAAATGGGGCGGCACATCGCATTGGATATGGATATATCACCCAGATAGCTGTATACACTACTTACGAAAAGAAGTGAGTGAATTGGATTCTATGTTCATACTTCGTTTGTCGCTTCAATTTGTGTTTACTTAATTTCTACAAATTATGTAAGTGTTTCATACAATCATACAAACGTTAACTAAATCAATTTTAATGCCAACCAAATCTCTAAGAATAGTTGTTCAAAAATAAAAAACTAATTCAACAATTTCGTGTGTTTATTCCAATTCGACATTGGCCACACTTAATTGTAGTAATTAAGAATAAAACAAAATAATACTAAAAAATACCTGAGTGCAAAATACTTACAAATAATAATTGAACTCAAATAAACTACGCGCTATGCTCACAATGGAGTTGAGTACATAAATATCGATGGGCAGCACTTTGCGAACACTGCCGCGTGGAACAGCTTCCAAAGCAAATGGGCAGCACTTTTCAACATTTTAAAACGTTAGAAATTTCAATTCGTAAATTGAGTTGCATATTTAAGCTATTTTTCCACAAAACAAATCAATTTCAATAAATGATTTAATAAACTAGACGGGTTTAAAATAAAAATGGAATTCTCTAATAACTTTTTAAAATTTAAAATTATCTCTTTCACATCTAGTGTGCTTTCATATTTAGCATCGACTCCATTGTGAGCAGTAGAAAAAAACGAACTTAAGAGCTAAACTAAAAATGTCTAAATAAACTGAAAAATATATACGCTAATTTAATAAAAGAGAAATAAAAATAAAAATAAAAAGTTTTGAGCCTTTTGTCAAATGCGCTTTGCTATATTATTGGTTATATTCATAAACATTCGTTATAAATATATTTAATATATGTATATGTGTATGTCGAGGCCTAATTTGTGCATTTAAATATATGATATATATTTTCCTTTACAGTTATTCAATATCTGTTTTGCATTATAAATATAAAACAGAAATGAGACACTACGAACAAATACGCTCAGCACGAGAAGAGTTTGAAATTTGTGGGTAAAAAGGTGTGGAAAGTGTAAGAGAACTGAAAAGCGATTTATTTGTTTTTGGGATGCATGTCCTCTTTCTTTTTCTGTTGCATTTAATTTATGTTTTTTCTTTATTTTATTAAATTTCAGTTTGTGTATAAAAAGAACGCAAATGGAGGACCAACACATTTTATTGCATGATAATGGAAATTTGTATTGTTTTCTTCTTCTTGTTCTTTTGTTTTACTGTTAGCTGCAGTTTGATTTTTGGCACAAAAACAATAATACTTTGAAAATTAAGAAAATAAATCAAGAGTTCATTTCTACAGAGTTTCAATGAGTTGCATGATGGATGTATAGAATAGATATATACAGCATATAGATGGTATTAAATAATACTGGTTGCCAATTAGTATGGTTAGAGTAATCAAAAATAAAAGGAGTTAGTAAATTAGGCTGATAAATTAAAAACGAAAACCAAAGAGTCGAGCACACAAAATATTAGCAAAACAAACTACGCAAAACGACAAACGCAATTGGTAAGGATTTTCTTTACGGTTTCGTTTAAAGAGTTACAAATATTGGCAGAAAGAAATTGTTACTTACCGGCAACGCTGGTAGCAACATGTTGCTGTGGACTGCTATTGCTGCTGGCCACGGCAGCGGCAGTTGTGTGATATGTGGCCGCTGCTGCGCTTGTCGCCTGTCCATTCGCATCACAGAGAATTTCATTTTGCAGCTGATAGACATTGCCATCTGTGCTGGTATATTGCTGTTGCTGCTGGTGCTGCTGCTGTGGAATGCCGTTCAGTGTGTTGGCTGCGGGCAACATGTTGGTGCTGGTAATTTTCTGTTGCTGTTGCTGCTGCTGTTGTTGACTAGATGATGTTGCAGTTGTCGCTTGCTGCTGTTGCTGCTGCTGCTGTTGACTTAGTTTTGGTATTTTGCCCTCGAATTTACGCGACTGTTGCATGAATTGCAACTGTTGCTGCTGCTGCTGCTGCTGTTGTTGTTGTTGTTGCTGCTGCTGCTGTGATTGCTCGTTGAGCCCGCGTTTGGCATCTGTAAAAATGCGTTCGAAATTGTTATTACAAGAGCATTWAGGAGATTTTTGTTTGTTTGTGATGTTGGATGTTGGTTTGGATGTGGTTGTTATATGTTGGCAGTTAAGCGTTTGGGGTTGTGAAGCGACACACACACACACGCACACACATGTTATATACATATACACACACACATATATATATATATATATAGACATATATACATACATATGTAGCAAAAGCGAACGAAGCTGCATCGGAAACAAATCGAAACTCAAGCTGAAGCCGAAACTGAAGCCCAACCAGAAGTTGAGCTGCGAGTAGAGCCCATGCATGAAATGTCCTTTTTTAGTAAAACAGTTTTGGTTTTTGGTTAGTTTTTAGCATAAAGTTTCCTTTATATATATATATTTATATATATATGAATAGAGTGCTCTCATATATTTCTCAGGCGCTTACAAATTAGGACACAACTTTGACGACTTATGTTTTAGCAAGAATTTCTAATTTCAAAACAATTGTACAAATACAGTAAAAGCAAAACACAAATAGGAGACGAGAAACTAAAACGACGACGATGACGGCAATGAATTTAAAAAGGAAATTAAAACAAAAGAATCGCTGACAAAAGCGGCTGTGAATGGGAGATCGATCGGATTAAAATGTTAGTCAATGGTTATTTTGTTGTTGATTGGATTATGGATAGCTGGATGTTGCCGATGATGATGGTGATTGTGGTTCTTATGTGACTATGCTTGTTGTAGTTGTAGTTGTTGTTGTGACTGTGGCGTTGCAGAGGCTGTTGCTGCTGCTGATGTTGCTACTGTTGCTGCTGCTGCAGTTGCTGTTGCTGATCAAATTGTTGCTGCTGTTGCGCTCACCTGCGCCAACACTGCTGCCGCTGCTGCTGCTGTTGCTGCTGCTTCTTTCAATGGCTGCTGCAACTGTTGCTGCTGCACTGTCTGTTGTTGTTGATGCACTGCTGCTGCTGCTGGCAGTCGCCTCCTTTTTTCGCTTCGTGGGCGTTTTGCGTGGTGTGGAGTTCGCTTTGGCGCGCGCTCCACCCCCGCGTGCCCCTCTTGAAGTGGAGGATGTGGAGGACGCTGGCGATATGGAGCGATCGTCCTTATTGGCGCGCGGACTACGACCACGACTGCTGTTGCGCGAGTTATTCCGACGCTTGCTCGTCAGCCAATCATCATCGTAGTCTGCGTCGTATCTACGCTTCTGCTTGCGCCGCTTAAAGTCCTCCTCCTCGTCGTCGTCCTCTGCAAAGATTAGTGGAGAAAAAAAAGAGCAAAACAGAAAAGTATTGATTGTTGGGCTGATCTTGAGGTTGTCTGTCTTTGTGCTTACCAGTGCCATCGTCCATGTACTCCAGCAGCTCCTGCTTGGTCTTGAAGTCAGCAGGACTCTGCAGACTCATTGTATCCTCGGGCGTGTACTCGGTTTCCTCATCATTGAGCGTAAGCACGCTCTCTTTCAACATGGCTTTTACGTCGTCGGGCACATTCGGATTCTGTTGGATTTCATCCAGATCCAGATCAGGATTGCGCTCCTTGAAGCTCTTCGCCTTGGTGGGATTGCATTGCTTCTTCATTCTGTGATTAATGGGGAATTGTTATTATTGAAAACTAGCTCTAGGTGCTCGGTAGCAACCCACTTTTTATCACACAGAAGCACATCGAGGTGCGGTGGCAGCGGCGCAGCAGTTGGCACCACATTGGGCGGATCCTCTGGATGACGGCCGAGGTCGCGCCCCTCCAACCACGCATCGTATCGCTCGCTCTGGAAACGCTTGACAAATGTGTCCATGGAGATTTTGACCATGTCATTGCTGCAGGTACATTGCGTTGCACGCTTGCCGTACTCAATCCAGCGTTCCATGGCAAAGTTTGTGGATTCGGCGCAGTTGAAGCCATGATTGAAGCCGGCATGATAGCCGAAAGGAAACGTAATCATAATCTCACCCGATTCCTGGGTTATCTGTGTGTGGTAAAACATTGAGTACTTGAGACCTTACAGTTTCGTCAGTTTTGGGTTCGAACTGGCCTATATTTCTCAATTCTAAAACTGCTTTCTTCCTCATTAGCTAATCAGACAGATTCGCGTTTCTCGAGCTATTGCATTAGTTTTGTAATCGTTTGCAATTAAGTTTCGTTTACAGAACTGTATTCCGTAAATCCGTACGGGAGCGATATATAATAAATTTGTTTCGATAATCAATGATTAAGATATCCTTTGGATTACACAATACTTTGTTCCATAATTGAAGACTATTTAGAAATTTACAAGGTTTCCAAAACCAAATGCTTCCTAGATAGTCGAGTATCTTTTGTTTCATAGGAGTATCAAGAAATTTTTGACTTTTCAAAAAGTTTCCTGAACCTTCACACTTAGTTATTTTAACTAAAGTACCTACTACTAAATTGCATCTAACCAAATGGAGAGATAATTCGAATTTTGTGAAGAAAGCACTATAAGAAGGGGATCCATTCATAACATGGATCCATAATATGGCCAGTTCGAATTTCTGTCTTTTAGGTATTTCGAGAATCAATGGGAAATCCATATTGATTTTACCTTGCTAACTGGTACATTGTGCTGCTTAAGTATCTGCGGCGATATGAGCGTCATTTTATGTCGCAAATACGCGTTGCAGTTCTTATAGCTGGCCGGGAAATACTGATTGGCGACCTTCTCCAGGCGCCTGCCATATTCGGGCGGCACCACGTACCACGTTTTGGGCGCACCGAAATGCAGATAGTTGATCGAATACAAGTCCATGTCCTCGGTGTGCCAGGCGAATGTCGTTTTCCACATGCCAAAGTACAGGTAGGCAGTGTTGACGCCATCAATTTGTATATTATAGTCCTTGTTGACAAAGTCCAAAATGCTGCCCAGGCGATTTATGTTCCAGCTCTGTGAGAAATTGTGGAGGCATGAGAAAAATGACGCTCAGTTGGGTCCACCTAACACTTACATCCTGGTCAGAGTCTGTGATGCTGCCGCTAACATCGGCCCCATAAATGGGAGCCACGTAGGTTATATTCTTCCAATATTTACGCTCCAGATCTTCGAAATCAAAGTGCTTCGGTGTGGCATACCGTTCGGTGCTGGCCAATTCGCTGAATTGTTTAACCGTCAGCGGTTTCTTTTGTATATTGATCTGTTGATAATATCCCTGTTTTCCGGTAACCACTTGGCAAATGGGCGCAGGAATCGTCACATTCAAGGCGTCCAAGTCCGCATAGCCACTGCGACGAGGCACCCACTCAGCGGGCGGCACCACCTTGGCCAGGCCTGCTTTGTGGGCGCCCTGTGACTCCATATAGGCTATGTATTTGGGGAAGTCCTTGAACTCCTCCCAGGTGGGACGGAATACCATAATGCGCGGTATTTCGGACATTGTTTAGTTTTGCTTTCTATTATTTCTGGGTATATCTTACTTAACGCGATCTGTAACTGTTAGAGAAATATATATATATAGAGAGAGAGAGGGACAGATAGACAAGCAGAGAGCTGCCTCTACTGTCTGCATTAATCCAGCGCAGATGCCAACGACTTGACATGAATGCGTGCGTGCCCTGCCTCCTGCTTATGTTGCCGTTGTAGTAGTAGTTGCTGTTGTTGTTGCTAGGCAAACAGGAACAGCTGCAACTTCATTTCATTTCATTTTCGAGCGCCCTTTTTCAATGGGACAGCCAGTAACGACAACAACAATAACAACAGCCACAGCAGCAGCAGGCAGGCAGGCAGCCAGCCAGCCAGCCAGGCGGACTAAACAGGCTTCGGAGAATGGCAGGATATGCAGCCCGTCAGCCCGTCGGCTCGTCAGCCAGTTTTAATGGTTTGCATTGAAGAGATGCATTGATCTCGTTTTCATATCTTGACTATCTTACAAAATAAATTTCAATCCAAATATGATAATTTTAATTTTGTAGTTTTGGAACTCGGTTGTATTCAAATATTTCTGTTATAAGGCTGAAAGTTAATATTTTTAATTATAAATAAATAATAGTTGGGAAAAATTTGTCAAAAGTTTGTGGGAAAAATCGTTAGATATATCAATTCTGAAATGTTTTTATTGTTATAAATTAAATCAATCAGTCGCTGCCAGCAGGCCGGGGGATAAATATTTGACCGATTACATTTATAACATATATAAAAGATATATATTATTATAAAATCAATTGTTATTACAGTCTTGAAATTAGTTTTACCTTACCTAGAATGGAACTTAGTTTTTATTAGTTTCACTAATGACTAGATATTTATTCTAGTATTCATTATCATTATAAAATACTGATCCTTAAATGATAATACATAGTATCTGATCTTGCATAGTTCTTTTTACAAATATATATTTTTTTATAAATACACCTGATCCTTAATCCAATAACATGCTGTTCCACAAAATGGAAATATTAGATTTTTCCTTACACAATAAATATATTCTCTGAAATGTCTAATTAATTATTACTTCTATTCATAAATCAATTTTCACCACGTCTATTGGTACGTAGAGAATATAATTAGATTTTATTCCGGTCCAAATAGCTTCAAAATGGTACGAATTCCCAATAAGTATACTACTTTGATTATTTTTATCATCACAATATCCCTTCTTTTTTCCTGCTATATTTATAGTGAATACATATTAATCCTTTTAAGGTCCTCCGAGCTGCGTTTTCTGGGTTAATGTAATACATACACGAGCATATTATATGTATCTATGAAAAGCTTAAACTCTATAATTGCAAACACAAATACAGTTATACAGTCGTAGAAATGAATTTGTTAGATAAGCAATTTGAATTCCAAGTTTTGGCTGTGCCATATTCAGCAGCTGCATACATAAGAAACTCTAAAGGACACCAATTAAAATGGCGCAGAACAAAATAACGAAATGGCGAACCAAATAAATTAGGATACACCGTCCGAGAAGTACGCCCAATTGGAATAGGAATATGGAAATGCACAGAAGCCAAAGTACAAACCTCTTTGCGACATGCGAAATGTACAATGTTTATTGGCAGCCAAATCAAATTGATGAATAAACAAATTTAAGGAACGAACAGCAACAAGGACTACAGCGACAGTGACGACGAGCACAGCGCCGTGCGAGACATGCAAGCAAACTACATGGATGAAAATTTACGCAATTTTGGGTCTACGCAGAAAACTGTACCACCACCCGATGAGACGACTACGACGAGGACGACAACAACGAGGACAATGAAGAGAACCTAAGCGACGAGTGCGCGCTGTGTGCGCAAGCCAGAGAGAATGCTGTCAGCGCGAAAGGGCGAGTAGCAAAGTAGCGAGTCACATATGCACAGAGAGAAAGAGAGAGCAACTGCCATATACATATGTATTTGTATATTTATACGTACACAAGTGTGTGTGTGTGCATGTATGTGTATAGGTGTGTGTGTGTGTGCCATTTGGGTATGTATGTAAGTAATATGCATTGTGTATATGTATGGGAAGAGTGTATGAAAAATTTAAAACTCACTTGTGTGTGCGCTTCGGTTGAGTTTTAATTTAAATGCAGCCTCCCGCTCGTACTCTTGTTTTTGATATCTCTCCTTCTCACTCACTCTAGTGTAATCCCACTACGTTTATTTGTTGGTTGAATTAGGTTTGTTTCTGCAGTTTATTGCACATTTTGCTTTTGTTGTATTTTTGGCTTTACTGGAACAGAACGAATGTTTCTTTTCTTTTCATCTGCTTCTGCTTCTGTTTTGTCACTCCTTTTGTGTGCTACACATTTCTTTCTGCTTGCTTTTTGTTGCTTACGTTCAGGCGCTCTCTTTTGCAAATTAGGCCCGCTCTCACACACTCGTTCTCTTCTATTCTTTTTTCCTTGCGGCTGGCACTCGCTTGATTTTGCACAATTGCACAATTTGTTGTTGTTTATTTAACGCGGAGTTGTTTGCGAGCTTTTAACTGTAACTTTTAACTGTATACGACAAAGTTGGCCTGCAACATTTGGCGACTGTCTGCGCTTTTATTTTACTTGTTCGTTTCGTTTCTTTTCTTCTTTTTTTTTATTATTTGTTGGAAACTGCCGGCTGAGGCGGAGTTCTCAATATAGTATTAAGATTTTGCTGATGTTGTTACAATTATGTATGTATGTATATGTACATGTATTTATATTCTATGCATATAGATATTATGAACTGCTGCTTTAAACACACACACGGCAACGGGCGCGGATCAGCAACATGTTCTGAGCTGTCGGAGCTGCGAGCGTAAACTGAAACCAAGACGTGCCTGGCGAGGACGAAACAGCGCAGCCAAACGCCAGCGACAGCGACGCCGACTGCGACAGCACACACACACACAGAAGCAGGCGAACGGCCAGACACAGACATAGAGCGTTGTCCTTTTAATGCGAACGACGGTAGTAAAGCGTAATGTGCAAGGAAAACCAAGAGCGAACGCTCACAATAACGAGAGCAAAAACAAGTTTGACAGGATAATGTGTTATATAGAAACATACAAATAGGTGTGTGTGCGCGTGTGTCGGTGTCTGTGTGCGGAAAATGCAGAGGAAAAACGGCAGTTGGTTCGTGGCAAACAAAAGATTTTTGCGCAGCAAATGTTTTCTGAATTATTGGCAAAAACGAGCTGCAGCGAATGCTTCACAAAAGCAACCAAATTTTCTATGCTTCGTACACTCTCTCCCTCTCTGTCTCTCTCACTCCGTTTCTCTTTCTCACTCACGCTTCTTCAGCTAAGTCGCAAAGAGGCCGCTAGATAGACTATGTAGCAGTTAAACTGCGCCGGGCTTACACATAATAATGCTTTGTATTAGTCCGCGATTTACAGAGCTCTCTACATTGATCTGGGTAGGGGATCTGATGTATCGATTCCTTCAATCTATGGTAATCTACATATTTTCCAGCTGGTACTTGAATTCTTTCCGGGAAAATCTAAATAGTTTACATGTTAAATGTAAAGCGTCGATCAAAAGGGTCTCAATATCGTATGATCGTCTCGTGACAGATTTATAAATTTAATTTCTTATCATTTTGATACTACAATATAATGTGTTTAAAGTTCATTGGTAGAAAGAATACAGAATAAATAACTTATCTTAAGAAAAGGGGAATTGTTTGTAAGAAACCCAGAATTGAAGGAATATGATATCAATTATAATAATTATATCTTTTACACGTCAAAAATAAAAGATAAATGAAATAGATCTGCAAAACAAACAGTCTTAACGAGCTTTGAGACAGTTAAATTTAAATTTAAGTTTACCACAAAATTAACTCGATGGTATGATTTCGCAATACAGCCGAAAGTTTAGTTATTTTAAAAATTCGCCTGCTACACTGATCTTACAAGATGTCCTGGTAGCCCCACAATGCGTTCTACCTACAAAAGAGGAATACAATTAACAAGGAGAAAAAGCCTCTAAGTACAGAATTTAAGCAGCCGCAGCGCAAAACGAAAAAGCGAAACCAAACTAATTACAAGAAGAAAGAAAACGACACGTTGCACAAGGAAAATAATTTACAACATGTCATTAGCTGGGCAACGCCTATGCTCTGTGCCATGGGTGATGGCTAGAAGGAAGTGAGGAAGAGGAAGCGAAATAGAGAGAGGAATGAACAGCAGCAGCAAAGCCAACGACAGGATCAAAGCGTGACGCGAAAGGCCGTACGCGCAAGAACTGAACAGCACAGATGTATTGAGGCAAAGGAGCTGAAGTGCATTTCGTATGGGGAGCCGGATCCTGCGCGCTGTTAAACTCACAAACTTGTTTTTTACAAACGCAGCTCAAGCGTGGCATCGAGTAAAAGAGAGAGACAGAGGCTGGGAGGGGGAGAATGAGAGAGACAGCAAGACCAAGAGCGACAGAGCGTCGCAGCGAGCTTGAGTAAAAGCGACGAGAATGACCAAACGGCGGCGTCAACTTCCGGCAGGACAAGAGCAGACACATATACATACACACATATGCACACACACGTTGTGTACACAATGTGGTCATTGACTGAACGGTAAAAAGCGAAAACAGGAACCAAACAGCAGCAGCTAAAGCAACAACAACAACAGCKAACTGACTGGCGATGACGTCGTCCTGCGGTCGCTGTTGACGTCGCGTCGGCTGAAGCGAAAGCGCGTAGAGAACACAATAATGCGCGTCCCCTATTCACTATAGCGTGTGCTTCTATATATGTGTATGTGTGTGTGTGCGTATATGTATATGCTCGTGTGTGCGCCTGTGTGTGCGTGTCTCGTGATTCACACAGCATATTTTCTAATACAATTTCATTTTCTCGTAAAATTTCAATTCGCCAGCGGCCTCAGCTGCTGCGCCAGGAACAACAGCACCACCAACAACAACAACAACAAACGTTATTTATTATTCTAGCGCTGCGCTGTGCCCGTTTTATATCCTTTTGTGAGGCTTATAGCACACGCGTCATACAAAAAGCAAAGCGCGCGTC